AAGGAGTAATCATAAAACACAAGGCAACAGTAACCTGTTCTAAGCACCACTAGAGAGAAAATGCTGAGAATTCTGATTTTTATCCCCAAGAAAAAGCGATCAAATATATTTACAGATAGGTGAAGTACTCGAGTAAGAAGAAAGTCATGCTTGCTCATGCAATCTCATGTTACAATGACATCATAACATTTCCACCCATCAAAATCACTTTGTCATTCAGCCTAAAGGTCAGATGACAGAATGGCTCCAGATTAAATTTTATCATCCCAATGGACAAGGAGTCAATTCCCACTTCCAAGTTACTTGGATTCCCCACCTCCTTTATTATTCAGCCTTGCCTCACTGAGCAGGCAGCATCTGAGAATACATTCCTCATTTTCACAAGTTACAGAGCTGGCAATGGCCAAGGCAGGGCTTCCACATGAACAATGTTTATGAGATATGCAGACAGCATTTTATTTTCCTAAGAATTTCACCTAAGAGACAACAGCCAGTAGATTACAAAGTCCGTGGGAGCCAGAAGTAGCTTTGCATTTGTCAGCCTTTGCCCCTGGGCTTGTCAGGCAGTTCTATAAGCCCTGAAGTTCAAAGCATTTAAAGGAATGTTTTCTTGCAACATGTTTTGTTTAGTGCAGCCAAGCCTCAAGAGAAGGTTTCTGGCACACTCTATGCAGGGAAAGTTTCAGCACATATGATCACTTTTAAAAAAAACCTTGTAATTACTACATTTACAGACATTCATGCATGACAATGGATGGAGCTTTTCTGTATAGTGCATAAAAAATTACCTGAGTAAGGATAATTGAGTGATGGTTAAAAAATTCACTGGAAGCAGCATAACAAATCAAGAGAATGACTAGCTTGATTTTTGGGCACCCACTTACAAATCCATTCCACTTACACTTTCAAGAGAAATTTTTTAAACCTTCCCCCAAAAATATGAGTCTCTACAGAAGTTTGTGCTGTGGCAGTCATGGTGTCTGAAAGGATCTTGAGAACATTCAGTTCTACTATTTTTAATGATATGATGGGAAACTGTTTCATAGCTGAGAAATAAATGCCTTTTCTATACCTCAGGGGAAGAGTTGTGCAAGCCCAAATCATTTGCCATGCCTAGGCTAGTCTTCAAACTCCTGGTATGAGAAACTGGAGCTCCAGAAAGTCATGTTCCCATCCCAACCGCATGCCTTATAAGGAACTTCTCTTGCCTGTCTCTGTTTACCAATCCTGGAGAGTTGAAGCCAATGCTTTGGATGGCCTGTGGGTGTGTGTTTCCATCTGAACATCAATATGTAGGTAAGGCTGATGCGTTGATCCTATAAAGTGACAGATCTTTTATTACTCTGTGATTGCACAGTAAATCAGAGCAAAACAGGTAAAGCACAAATCTCAGCCCTATTTGTCTCTCAGCTGGAAACTGAGCTCACAAACATTTACAGACCAAATACTGCAAATAAACACCTGGGGTTCTGGTTATCTTAGGTCAACAGGAGCTTTTTAATACCAAGTTCAGGTTTACGGTGCACATATTTTAGAATAGTTTTTATTTCGGTTTCTCCAGAAGGATGAAGGAGCTGGGCCTGTTCAGCCTTGAAAAGAGATGACTGAAAGGGGACCTCCTTAGTGCATACAATTATCTAAAGGGGGGATGCCAAGAGGAAGGAGCCAGGCTCTTCTCTGTGGTGCCAGTCACCAGGACACGAGGGAAGGGGTAGAAACTGATGCACAGGAAGTTCCACCTGAATATGAGGAAGATCTTTACTGTAGGGGTGACTGAGCACTGGAACAGATTGTCCTGAAAGGTTGTGGAGTCTCCCTCACTGGAGATACTCAAGAACCATCTGGACACAATTCTCTGCAATGCGCTGACCCTGCTGGAGGAGGTTGGACCAGATGTCCCACTGTGGTCCCTTCCAACTTGACTGATTCTGTGATTGTGTGAGCACAGCAACTCCTCAGCCAGTTCCTCTGACTTAAAGAAAGGACATGCGTGGCTGCTCTTGTTATAAATATTGTCAACGGCTTAGCCTAAATTAAGAATTAACGAGACCAGAAGGCTCGAATGCTCTATATATAGATTTCTGTAACTCTCCAAGTTGGCCCGCGTATTTCTGGCTCCCCAAGGAATGAATGCACGGCGTTGTGCAGGCGCCTGCTGAGGATGAATTTATTCTGCATCGGTCTCGGCGCGGCAGCAGTGGCAGGGGAACAGGCAGGGTGGGGGCGGTGGCAGGGCCAGTAGCAGGGGCAGGGGCAAGGACAGCGGCAGGGACAGTGGTACGGTCAGGGACAGTGGCCCCGGAGCCGCCCGTGCCCATCATGCCCATGCCCGTGCCCATGCCCGTGCCCATGCCCGTGCCCATCATGCCCGTGCCCGTCCCGCCGGCCCTCGGGCAGCTCAGCCTTCTCGCCGTCCCGCCCGCCGCTCGGTGGTTGCGGCGGGGGGTGAGGCCGGGCCGTGCCGTAGCAACCGGGCGGTCTCCAGGCTCACAGCGGCTCCGAGCGCGGCCGGGCAGGCGGCGGTGCGGAGAGGCCGCGGCTGGAGGCAGGTGAGGGCGCAGGGCGGCCGGGCGGGCGCCACCGCGCTGGGGGAGGAGAGGAGGCGGCTCAGGCGGCGGCCCTGGTCCCGCCGCAGGGCAGCGGCAGCCGGGTCCCGGCGCTGGCGCAGGGCTGGCGCCGAGCCGTGGTCCTTCACCCCGGAGGCCCCGGCTTCCCTTCCCCGCCCGTTGCCATGCGGTGTATACAGGGACGCGGCCCGTTGCCTCGGGTGGCCTCTGCGAGGTCGCAGCGCCGGTGAGCGACGTGGCCGGGGCTCACCTTGGCCCTTGTCCCGCTCTTCCCCTCTTCCAAGGCCCCCCTGTGGTTCGGCTGTGACACCTCAGCCCTGTTTGAAAAGGGACCCCATCAGTTTATAAACATCTAAAGGGAGGGGGGCGGGCGAGGGGGTGTGTGCCAAGAGGAGGGAGCCACGTTCTTCTTAGTGGTGCTAATCACTAGGACAGGAGGCAAAGGGCAGAAACTGATACACAAGAAGTTCCACCTGAATAAGAGGAAGAACTCCGCTGTGGGGGTCATTGAGCATTGAAACAAATTGTCCAGAAAGGTTGTGGAGTCTCCCTCCCTGGAGATATTCAAGAACATCCTGGACACAATCCTGTGCCATGTGCTCTGGCAGAAAGCTCTGCCTGCTTGAGGCAAAATTGGACCAGATCACCCACTGTGGTCTCTTCTGACCTGACCCATTCGTGATTCCATGATTCCATTTCCTCAGTGGGCAGCCACCAGCCTCAGCTCCCTGCACTGCCTTTTTCTGGGTTTTGGTGCTTCAGCTGGTGTAGGGCAGCTTCTTGGGCTGTAAGGTGTGTGGGCTTTCCCAAGGCATTCCTGCCTGTCAGGGACAGCCCAGTGGAATGGCCTCAGCAAACATTGCTACCTGCACATGCTACACACCCGGAGCCAGTGCTGGGTTATGGCTTTAGCTGTTTGTTTGCACTGGCCAGAGCAGAAAGGGTGGAGGTGCCCAGATGAACTCTGGTTCACCTTTTGAAAATAACCTGTTTGGATTCAGATCTTGGGCTGAAGGTTATCCCCGCTACCATTGGTTTTGAGCTCTCTGTTTCCAAGACTTGAGGTAAAACTCAATGTTTCCATTGGAAGTTGCTTCATCTGTTTTCAAATGCTCCTTTTCATACAGAGCTAATATTTCACCGTCCAGGTGTTGTTCACAAGCAGCTGGGGGTGGTGCTGGAGGCTGAGGCAGGGGAAAATCTGTTGCCATACCTCTGGGCATCTGGAAATGAGTCAGCACCTGGGATTCATTCTCTGATGCATGCTAGAATGTGTGTTAGCTATTACCATGAGAGTACTATGATACTTCTTCTGTAGATAGAAAAATGGCATGAGCCTTGTGGCTTGCTGTGGCCTTTCACTATAGGCATTGTATGCCACAGCTCCCCTGTGGCAAGGGCTTCCTTTTAATGCCCTCATGCCAAGGCTGTCAAGGGTTGTGCTGCACAACACCTGGGGTGTTAGGATGCAGAGTTCTGCTTTCTTTAAGTCCTCCCTGCCCTTCTCACTGTTCATCTCTTTCTTCGTGAGCAGATCAAAGACTGAAATGGGTTATATGTTTCCATGTGGGTATTTAAACCCATATAAGAGGAATAAATAGCATGTTCCATTCTGCAATGAAGAAAGAGGGAGAAGGCTAAGTCTTCGGGTTAAATATTTATCCTGTTTTTGCTTTACTGTGGGAAAAACTGCTTGATGACAATGGCTAACAGCAGGCCTGCTAGCGATTCATACGTATCTCTTATTCATTCATCTTGCTTACTAAAAGAAAAACCAAAGCACTGGTGTCTCAAAGCAATACACTCAGCCACTGTATGCTACCTTGCTTTGTCTAACATTTTGTCTTCTGTTCCTCTGCTGTGTCTTATTCACACTTGGGCCTTATACCAAGTTCACACACGTAATTCCTTTTCTTTGTGACTCATCTTGTAGTTTTATATGTAAAGTTATGAATCTCTAAACAAAACTGGATCTCAGATACTCCCAGGTTTAGTCATGAATTGGATTATAGCAAAGGTAAGGTATACTGCAAAGCAATAATAGAATATTATACACTGGCTGGCAGCATGCCAAAGCACCACAGTCATTTTTCTAGCATATTGGCTCTTTTTAATGATGATTTGGGGTGAAGGAAGGGAAACAATATTACCAATTTCCTGATTTCCTGCTTTTGAGCTTGTGGATCCCTGTCAGATCTGACTTCAGCCTTTCTTGAGATGGGGAGTAGCTATCATTTCTACATTATTTTTTTGCTTGTTGAAAACCCTGATCTCATCCTTCTGTGGTTTATTATTAGCTGGGCATGTGGAACTGCTAATTCAGGCCTCCAGTTCATGTTGGCCTGTGCATGGCAATATTTTAATTTTTTAAAACAGTGATTCCTCAAGGTTTCAGAATAAAGCAAAGAGGAGCTGCCAGTCAAGAGATCTGTCATGACTGCTAATCCATCTAAGAGACTTGCCTGGAGTGACTGTGAGTATTTCATCACTATTTTTGCATAGATTTCATGTTCTCCTAGATAACTTCCAGTTTCCTTTGGAGCACTGTGGTGTGCATGCTGGCTGTATACAAGCCATTCTGAAGCTGTGCCACACTCACCTGGGCTGTGTATGGGGTGCTGTGCTGACTTTTATGTATTTTTGGGGAAGGAAACTGGGAATGATTGTTCAAATGACTATAAACAATGCCTGACTGTATTCAAAGCTCGAGCAGCTGCAAACCTACACCTGCCGCTCTCTAGAGTTAACATCTGTCACTGCTGCTTCTGCACAGAGCAAAGGAGGGCTGGTAAAATGCCAGCCTCTTCAGGCATGCCCACCCAGTGTCCTGCTTGTAGGACTGATGGCTGTGAAAGAACTCATGCCAGTCTACACTTTATAGAAGCCCTCTGTCACTGAAGGATGATTTCTGAAGATAAGAGTCTTATTTCCTTTATGTAGTGTTAAATGTGGAGCTGTCTGTCTTATGAACCTTTGGAACCAGGTTGGTTGTTATACTACTTGAATTTAGCAGGGAGTTCTGATCATATTCCATACAAGGCTGAAGGTTATTTTGGAGGCAATAGAGACAGAGGTGCCTTTCTTTGTATTTTGGGCCAGTTCAATATATGCAGTACAATTACAGGCAGTTTATGGTATATGGGCAATGGAGAACTGGACACACCAGATGATGTTGGTACTGGGGAAAATGTACAGAAATTTCCAAAGTCCACAGAAAGTAAACACAGATACAGCAAGGGCATTTGATCAATTACAGCCAGCTTAGCTCATGCAGAGTATTTTGGGAATGAACAGGAAATACCAAAGTCTTCCTGGAACCTCTGTGCTGAAGAACAGAGGCATTATTGTTTGTCATTGCTTCCATTTCTGCCTCAGCACTCTGGGGTCTGAGCTGCTGCTGCTGCCAAATGCAAGTAGAGCTAGCCTAGCAAACCATACTGCCATGCTCAGGTGTGTTCCATGTCCTGTAGAAGTTAAAAGGAACCTGGACCTTCATGTCGATGATTTCGTGTGCATGCACATGATCCATCACAGCCCAGAGCAGAAACTGACAGAACCATCATTTAAACTTGAGGCAAGTGATTTGACCGGAGGGAATTTCACCAGCCTTGCAATAAAGTCAGGTTCTTCTGGGGACAATGCTATTGCTTATGGGAAGAGTTCAACATAAAATTTTTAGGAAATACTTGTTTATTGCATAATGCTTCTAATTTGTATGTAGTGATGGTCTGACAATCTTTGAATGCCTATTATATGTCCTGATTTCCAAGACTTAGGAGAGATGTCTTAGGAGTTGGAAGAAGTGCTATTTGGCAAACTGGACTTATATTTCAGGGCTTGAATTTCAACATACAAGAGATATTTACTTTAATAAATTGAAAGTGAATATATATGGATGAATAGAAAGATGTAACAGCAAGTGGATGTGTAGGGCTGAGAGCAGCTTTCCAGATTAAGGACATTATTCAGTATTAAAAAAAGAAAACAAGAGGTAAGCTATACATATATACAGTACCATGGAATATAGGTAAAGAAAAGAGAAATTAATCTCATTTGGTTTTGAAATTGTTTGGTTAAAATATAAATGTAGTGTTTCCCTCATTTCTCTTTACAGCAATTGCCTTTGATTCAAAGCACAGACAAGATCCTAAAGATTCCCACAAGGTCCACAAGAAGAAATCAAAAGAGAAGAAAAAGAGACTGGCAGTTGGTCAGTGGAGAACAGATGTACAGTCCCTTGTTTCTTCTTCTAAATGGCTTCAGCGTTATGGTCTCAAAAGAAACAAATTGTCCCTGTCCCAGATTTTGTCCCAGATTGGATTCCAGCACAGGAAAGGTATAAGACAAATCAATAATAGGATAATAAATCCCTCAACTTTGAACAGTCTAGAGAGTCACTCTCATTCTGCACCCCAATGTATGCAATGGAGATTTTCACATTGTCTCTTATGATAATGGCAGAAATGGAAGCTGTATCTACAGTTGCCGACATTGCCAGTTCATAGAACTGAGAAACTCCTTCTCCTTTTGATATGAGAGGGATTTAGGATCTGAGAATGGCTTTCCTTACCCAACTGTACTGTTTCTTTACCCTAGGCTGCAGTTCACATCCTCACCAATATAGCTGTCACTCAGAAATAGCTGGTGCTGTTGGGACTGTTAATCTTTTTCTTGCAAATAACACACAATAAGATTTCTGTCTTCTTTCAGATGGCAAACATAATGTATGCCATGCCATAATCTGTGATCTACTATTGATCATCAGGGTTAGTAAACGTGCTTGGGAATAGGATATTATTTCTGGGTATCCAGCTTTAAGGAAAAAGTTAAATTTAATTAGAATTCAGTCTGCTTTTCATGCAAAGTCAGACTATAGAGAAATGTTCCTTTGCAGTTATCTGACAGCTGGAGGGGAAGAGTTTGCTAATAATTATTAACCACTGCCATAATGGTGCTTTGCAGAGCATGGTAATATATTCTTTTCTTTGAACAGCTTGCTGCCTGAGAAGTAGGAATTGTAATGTATTGCCATAGTTCTAGGTTGCATAATTTAAGGTTTTGGCTGGCTTGTGTCCATGGGGCATTCAAAGATCACCAGTGCAATTCCTGATATCTTGTATGCTGCAGATGAAGAAGAAGCTGTTATAAGCAGGGTTAAAGTTGTTACAGTGTTAGGAGCAGAATGTACTAGCTTGGCAGGGCAGCATGGTGTACAGATAACTGCTTTATGACGTTAACTATTCCCACCCCTAATGTTTTCCTATCAGTGGAGATCCTGGAGAAGATTTCTAGCTACTGAAAGTGCAGAGTGCACCCTTTTCCTTAGATGCACTCACTTCTGCACCCATTAAATTGTGTAAGAGAACAGCATTATCTGTACCAGATTTTGTATTTGGTTTGACAGACAAATATTTGCAAGTCCTGTTGTGAGATTGCCCAAACCTCACAATAATTAAAGTCCTGTGTAGCTTTCTGGCCTATAAGTAGTTAGATGTGAGTTTTCTCCTCACTTCTGACTAAACTGGGAGGAAGCAGCAAAAGCAGTGCTGCTCTATGGGAGGAAAATGAGCCAGGAGCCAAAAGGGACTGCAGCCCAGGCAGTGCCCTCACTGAACAGGATACAGTCCTGCAGCAGGGCGAGGTAATTAACCAAGTCTAGGGTCCAGCCAGGGAATGCAGCCAAGGACAGCAGGAGATGCAGCCAGAGGTTGAAAGCCTCAGGGCCCCATCATAGATATAATCAGAAAATAAAACAAAAACAGAATTAGAATTTCTCTCAAGTTTCTTAATGTCAAGAGCTCAATACTGATGCAAGTGCCTCACACATGGATGACATACACATCAGCCTGAAAAATACCTGTTTGAAGTAGTTCTGAAGATTAGCAACTTGATATTTTGTAAATTTTACTGTAGATTATGTGACCACCTTGGGGAAACCTGTGGCTTCTCGATATGCAGATGGTCTGTTTCCTCAGTACAAGAGAGCACAAGATGGCAGCGTGTATAATGTAAGTGTGGCTGGCTTGTGGTACCTTCCCTATGCACTTTGAAGTTATCACTGTAGCAGAATGATGAGACTAAAATGCTTTCCTGTGACAAAAAATACTTTTATTCTTTGTGAGAACTTTATCTTTTGATAATTTTTTTTCTGTTTTGTCAATCTGTTTGTGATAACTGTCAGTGGTAGAAAAATTAGATATCTTTTTTCCTTTCTAAGTCTTAGTCTCTTGCCTTGGTGCAGCATTGCAGTAAATCTTCTTCAGACATGATTGCAGTTTCTAAGCAACATCTACCCTGTCTTGAAAAAGGGAACCCTTCAAGAGAAGATGCTCAGAACCAGTTAAAAAAATAAAATCGTAATCAATAAAACAAATGGGGACACTGAAATAAGAAGACATAATGCACTGTCATTGCCAATGCAAAGCAGTGCTTTGCTTAGTGCCAGCAGGTCACAAAAGGCTCAGTCTATTCTACAGAGACAGCTAGCTGGATCTCTGCCCAGGCTCATGTTCTAAGGAATGTCTTAGCAACAGCTGCTGGCAACCCCATTGTTAAGAGAATGGATTCTGATTGAAGAGATGTGCCTGTGAGTGTGGAAGGGAGAGAGTTAATTTATAAAAGATTTTACAAAAGCAAATGGCTTGTCATTTTTTCTGATGATTAGAGTCACTTCTGATGTCACAATGCTTAAAAATGGGTAAAGAACCATATCAGGGAGCCTTTTCCCCTCATTTTAGTCCCATTAATTCAGTATGAAATACCTACATAATGTCTTTTAATCTTAGGACATGTGAGCAGCAGGAAAGACATTTTTGCTACTATATACACTCTGGTCAGATCTCCTTTAGGATGTTGAGTACATATTGTATACAGTTAGTACAGGCTTAGAGGAAGCCATTTAAAACAGTAGGTTCTGAGAAGAGCTGTTAGGATGAACTGCAGTGGAGTGATGATCTTATGAGAGGGCTTTGTTGATGCTGAAATATAAGCCTGAAAGAAGACAGAAGAAGGGTAGTATTATTGCCCTTGAATGCTACAGAAAGGCAAATTACAGGGATAGGGAGAAGCTGTAGTTTTCTCTGCTAAAAGGCATGCTAGTCCAAAAATAAATGGGTATGAACTGAATGAATAAAATTAGGAAGGACACTCAGAAGTTTCCTGGCTCTCAGAGAAATGGAAATCTGCACTTGCTTACTACACATGAGGGAATATTCTAAAAAAACTGCTTTATTTTAAGATGGAGTTTGGTTGGTGTAGTGCAATAAACTTTGAATCTGACTGTCATAGGAGGAAACTGGATTTCTAAGTGCTCCTTCCCAGGCCGACATTCCTTTGGCAGAGTGCCTGAGACTCTGTATCTGGGAGGCACATTACAGGGCATGAGTTGATATTAAAGAACACAGAAAAATACAAATGAGAGGGAGAAATGTGCAGACTGACACACAAAATATCTTCTCCCTGAGAAATGTTCTTATTTAAAAACATTTGTATTTCCGAGGTTTTTTACTTAGTCCTGGAAAGGAAGTTAGAGGTAGAAGGCAACAAGTAAATCAGCTCACATGGGCCAGAGATATTGGGGAAATCTGTGGTGCATTTTTAGACTCACAGGCTATGGTGAATGTGTATACACTTATTCATAGGGAGGATGTGCTGGTTCTAATTTTAATACTGAATCTAGACTTGACTTTGCTGAAAAGATATGGGAAGTTTTAGTTGTTGATTGCAGTTAGTTGAACTAAATTTGCCTAAGCACCTACCCACAAATAGTTAATCTGTAATGCTGGGCATTGTTAGTTGAATAATAGTACAAATAAGAAACTTTTTACGTTTTCCTTTCAAATGCTAAAGACAAGGTGGAGATTGAAGTGCCCTAGAACCAAACCGTATGCTGCCTTGTATTGCTGCAAATTTTTTTTTAAAAGCCAGTCAAAGTTCTAGTCTGAGAAGGTACAAAGTTTCTGTGTCCTTGTTTGTTCACCCATCTGCTCTGCAGCCCTTTCTACATCCTAGCCTGTGTTCAGCTCATTCTAATTGCTCCAGTTTTGAGACAGACAAGTCAGACAACCCACTGGCACTGTCCCATGCTCACATAAAAAGATTATGAAAAGCAATTAGGACAAAATGCAATGCCTTTTCTTTATAGCTTAGATGCATTTGTCAAGTATTTGCTCTTGAAACAGTGGAGGAAAAATGGGTTGTTTTTACTGCTACCTTAGCTGGCATATCTGACACTTACAAACTAGCTATGCAGCTGTGCTAAGCTTGGGGCTGCATTTGTATTATTTGTTTTGATGTTCAATTTCCTTCTCTCCCTTATTTGAATAAAGCTGACAGCCAAAAAAGAACTGATTCTTCATTTTGTGGATTGTCTAATTGGAGCTATTGAGCTATATAAGCAGCGAATGGAATGGTTAACCAGTGAGAGCCGGCAGATATTTGGAGTGATTCAAGAACAGTGCATTGTCATTGTGTTGGATTTTGGCACTGCAGCTCCAACTGAATTTGATCTGTGTCGGGATGCACTTTCTATGGTGCTTGTGGAACAGGTGATACAAATTTCCAGATTCAACCTCATTCGGTAAGCAGAAAGAATCAGAATCAAGAATGGTTTGGGTTGGAAGGCACTTTTAAAGGTGATCTCATCCAACACCCCTTCAAATGGTCAGGGACACCTTCCACTACACCAAGTTGCTCAAAGCCACATCTAACTGCACCTTGAATGTTTCCAAGGATGAGGCATCTCCCATCTCTCTGGGCAACCTGCTCACGTGTTTTGAGTACCCTCATTGTAAAAAAATTCTTCGTTTTGTCTATTCTGAATATAGGTTCTTTTAGTTTAAAACCATCACCCCTTGTCATATTGCTATAGGCCCTATTAATAGACTGTCCCCATTTTTCTTTTAAGTCCCTTCAAGTACTGAAAGGCCACAATCAGGTCTCCCCAGGCTGGACAAAGAAGTCCAAGTCAGCCCATTGCTGGAGAATAAAAAGGAGTTGCATGTTATACATGTTTGGATAAGGGACTTTGTATACTGGAAATTGTCATGGTTCATGTCATGCTAATATGTGTAGATTTCCCACCAATTTTCACCCATAGCCATGTTGAACTTGCCACGTCTGTGTAACAGAAGGCTGCTGTTACCCTGAAGAACAGATAAAAGGTAACAACACAAATATTGGCCCATCTACAAAATCAGAAGGATTTGCAGCAGCAGTAATGCCCTTCAGATGTTGCAGTATTAGTAAAACAGTGAGGTTCTATCTGACCACCTATTGCATTCTTGTGTCTTTAGACATTACAGGTTTCTGCCTTGCAGCTAAATGTGCACTCCTCCCAGTGCCATAGGCACAGGCATAGCCATTTGTGTTTCTGTAGATTTCCATGGTCACAGAAATCAGTAGCAGCACTCTGAAACAATAGTAGATTTCCATAACAAAAGAAGATTTCCAAGCGCTTGTTCCCTAAGAGGAATAAATTAATTTGCATTTAGTTAGAAGAATAGAAGCAGCTATTCATATTTTACCTACCTGCAAAAATTCTCATACATGCATGAGAGTTTGAATGTGTAAGCTTGGGTTTGGATTGAAGAGTGGAAAAAAATGATGCACAAATTAGGTAATATAATTTTAAAATTGGCTCCACAATGTTAACTTGCAGTTACATGGTGATTCTTAATGTTATTTTACCCAGGCACAGGTTTGATTCAGGTGCCCTATCTTAATTCTCTAGATTGTGATACTACTGAGATTTGAAAAAGAGAATAATAAAATCCCAGAAAGGTTTGGGTTGGAAGGGACATTATAGGCCATCTAGTTCCAAGCCCCCTGCCATGGGTAGTGACATCTTCCACTAGACCCAGTTTCTCAAAGCCCAGTCCGGCCTGGCTTTGAACACTTCCAGGAATGGGGAATTCCAACAGCTTCTCAGGGCAACCTGTTGGAAAAGTAGATATTTTCCAAAGAAGATATTTTCCAAAGCTGATAGGTTCCATAGCTTTTGAGAAGAGAGAACTTTTTCTTTAAAAATGAACTGCAAAGCCAAGTCAAAATTGAAACAATAATTATGTTCATCAATTATTTTGTCTTTGTAGGATGGAAACAAAAGACAATATAGCATATAAATTACTACTTTAAAAGAATCTTGGGTAATATATTTGCCTTTTAGATTTGCAGGAAACTCTTCAAAATAGTTCTTGATGGAATATCACAGATACTGGAACCAGTTGGTTTTATAGTTCCTTTCTGCCTTTTTATGTACAAGTGCACAGGCAAAAGTGCTGATTGGCTTTGTACTTCTTCCATTAAGACTACAGTCTTTTGTCAATTAAAATACCAAAAAGCCTAGCATCATAAATTTTATTTTTGGTGGCTAGGTAAAGATCAGCTGTACTACCAAAAAAAGTGCTCTGACACCAAGATCGTGGAGCAAGTTGTGGAACAAGACCTGTGGAATACACATTTCTTTTTCATGCCCTGTGGAATACACTTTTCTTTTTCATGCCCATACTTTAAAAACCTGATTGAGTTTTTATGATAAGAAGAGTTATGAATCAGGAACTCTTTTAAAAAAGATTTTATCTCCTCTGATCCTACTTTGGAAACAGTTGTGTCAAAAAAAACACCTTGTAAAATTACAGTATTTTTCTAATGGTTTCATTTTTTCTCTGCTTCCTTTATTGCAAGTCTAGATTTAGTATCTGTGGTATACTGTAATTCTTATTTAAGAATATAAAAGAATTGTAACAATAGCAGAGCTCCATTCTCTTGTTCTGCCGGCATGATTCTCACTCTTTCTGATTTATAGTTAATCTCATTTTCAGAGCTGCTCAGGATCTTACGAAGTGGCAGCAGAAATGCACTCCTGTGACTGAGCATGCTGTAAAGTCTGCAGTTAGATGGCTCTGGAAGCTGGAGCATATGACAGCTGTCAGCCACAGCAGTTCTGCTGAAGCTCTGCTGGAAGCCATGGCTGATGAAGCGGTAAGCTCATGCATCTTTTCAGAAGCCCAAGTAAATCCAAGAGTGTTCAGTGCTAGGCTGGCTGCTGTGATTTGCCCTGATCAATGCTGCAAAGATAAATATTCATGTCAGCATTTGGAAAGGATTTTTTTTCCCCTCAATTGTAGCTCCATACTATGCTTAATGATTGTCTTTTTATGTAAATGTACTGTATTTTGAATGCAGAAACTTGTTTATTTTCTTTTCTAGAGTACCCAGAATAAATAACATTCAATCATTAAGGGAAAGAGAAAGCATCTTCCTTTCCACTTTCTTTGCCATATAAGTTTTTCAGGGCTTCAGGTTTATGAGAAAATTTCTAGTATCAACATTATTGAAGGCAGGGAAACCATTTTTATTTTGTTTAGCATCCAACTTGCTCATGAAAAATTATATTTAAAATTCAAAATAGTGAGTACAGAGATTTATGGAAATATTAGCTTATGATAGGGCTACACAAATCCTTTTTCATCAGCCAGGTGATAACTAGACTTTCTTCCAAGACAGAGACAAAGCATGCACAGTTATTCCTGCAATTAAATGCTGTTCATTTTTAAAAGTGCCCTATTACTTTATTCATTAAAATAGAGTAACAAGAAATGAAACATATATGCCATCATCTCAGCTAGTAACTTAAAATTTGTGTTTTTAAAGAGATATTTTATGACATTTCCTTAAAATATATATTCTTTCAGTTCTCTAACACCTGAATTTAATGGAAAATTTGGCCTACTGTCTGTGGAGTAGAGTCATTGGCTTTCATTGCTGTTAACATCCATCCCTGTGCACAGATCCAATCCTAACTCATGTAAATCTCTTTCTGGAACATTGAGGGAGAAGGTAAATTTTGCTTGAGTTACCTTCTGGTTCCTTATGCTGTTAGATTCTCATCCAGATGAGCTTTGATGTTTGGAAACTAATATTAAAAAGGAACTGAGTAAAGAACAAATTGTTTACCAGTGAGGTTTTTTTTATGAATGCTTTTTTATGCCACCTTCATAAATTTTATTAGCATTTTCAATTTGCAGTATTAATACTGATTTCCTGATGAATAACTAAAGTATTGTACTTAGATTTCAGCATTGTCTGGATGAAAAAAGTCTTGTTGGACCTGGTGGGTCTCTGTTTGAATAAACAGAAATTAAAATCTGTCAGACAATGAAACATGTATCATTATTTTTCCAGATATTGGTGGGCCAATAGGCAATCTGGGGGAGTCAATTGTGGCAGGTGCTCAACATAAAACAAATTTCAATTGCTCCTAAACAGAGTCATTATCATTCATAGCTGAAAGTTCACTTAAGAGCAATGTTCACTGTAGTGCAGATGGGGGATACCCCATCCAGTCCTAGAGAAAACTTGTCTACTTACTGAGCAGTCATGAATAACTAATTCCTAAGAACTGGCTTCATCAACAGATGTTGTTCCAAAACAGCAGGTTTTTTTTTTTTGTTTGTTTTTTTTTTGTTTTTTTTTTTTTTTGTTTTTGTTTTTGTTTTTTTTTCCTAGACATGGCTCTTCTTGTCATTTCTTCAGCTGGTCTTTTCTTTCTACGTATGGTGATTCTTTAGATTTCCTTTCCTTATGACCTGTAAATCCCAAGCTCAAGATCAGTCTGCTGTAATGTTGCAATCCTTTGAGCTCTACCTGCCACAACTGCCTCCAGTTCTGTACAAGTGCCACTCCATGAAGTGTGGATCATTTATCCAAAACACCTCGCTACCAAGATCAAGACTCTGAAGAACTGTTCATGTTGCTCTCCTTTCTGTTCTTACATGAAGTTTGTTTGCTTGTTTAAATGTATAAATTACAATTTTCCAAATATGAAGGACTTACTTGAAAGGTTTTAACCTTTCCCCACTAGCCTATGAGGAACATTTCCTTTGTGGTATGTCATTGCTGGGTTTGTGGTTAAGTAGAGTGGTTCATAATCTGTGCTTCATAATTTTTTAAAATTTTCTAGTGAGGGGTTGGTTTTTTCAGCTATGCCCAATAAATGTCAGCATTTTGAAAGTTGCAGAGGCAGGCAGAGAATCCCTTGAAGAAAGTGTGAAAATTTCTATTCTTGTTGAATATCAAGTTTATGAATTAATGGCAGTCTTAGAGGGAGGGAGAGAAGATGTGAATCTGAAGGAACACCGGGGAAAATGGTGGTGCAAATGTGCATGCATACCTCTGGGCCAGGAGCCTCTTCAACAAAAGCAGTAGGAACATGGTGTTGTCCAAGGACTGGGTCTCATCTGGGAGACCTTTATGCAGGCTCAGATAGCTTTTTAGCTGGAGGAGGCAGACAGGGAACTTTGTAAAACTGAACTAAAAGACAGATAGGTGCAAGAGTTCATTCTTTTTGTTTCTGGCTACATTTTTCTAAAGGTAGTAAGTATTTTGTTAATCTTGTACTTTAATAAAATACATTCATTATCTCTTTAGTATTTATCTAGAATTATCAGTGATGCTAGGACACCTGGTCCTGCTTGCTCCCAAATAAGTGGAATCTGTAACTATGGCTCCTGCCTTCCGCATGGAGAGTCTGGCTCCTCTGCAAGATCCAAGAGAAGTTCACGATGGCAAGGTGCTGCTTCGTTAGTTTGCCTGATCCAGCCTGAAATTGGGTTGCTACTTGGGAGAGACATCTTCCAGTGTTGAGGAAGGTGCCAAAAGGTCCATGAGGGAGGACACTTGAAATGCAGAAACTATTCTGGGAGCTGGAATACAAATCAGTATCCAAGGCAATAATGGAAATGTATGAGCACACTTGTAGGTGATGTTGAATTTGCATACTACATTGCTTTACTACATAAAATTATGTGAGTGCAGAGACATTTCCTCAGTTCCATCCCAAACTCAAATAGTTGTCTTTTGTGGTTCATATCCTGGGATTCATATTCATAGAATATAGAATATTCATATCCATAGAATCATAGAGTCACAGAATGGTTTGGGTTAGAAGGGACCTTAAACACTGTTTAGTTCCCACACCCCTGCCATGGGTGTGGACACCTTTCACTAGACCAGGTAGCTCAAAGCCTCCTTTAACCTGGCCTTGAACACTTCCTGGGATGGGGCATTCCTAACTTCTCTGGACCGTTGCTCCTGGTGCCTTACACTGTCATAGTGAAGAATTTCTTCCTTACATCTAATCTAAATCTACCATCCTTCAGTTTAAGGCCGTTCTTCCTTGTCCTTTTCAAAAGTCCCTGTCCAGCTTTCATGCAGGCCCCTTTACATCCTGGAAGGTGCTATGAGGTCTCCCCAGAGCCTTCTCTTCTTTGGCTGAACAGCTCCAACTCTCTCAGTCTGTCTTCATAGGAAAAGTACTCCAGCCTTGTGATCATCTTTGTGGCTCTCCTCTGGACTCTTTCCAGCAAATCCATGTCTTCTGATGTTGGGGGTCCCAGAGCTGGACTCAGTGCTCAAGGAAAGGTTTCATGGGTGTAGAGTAGAGGGGCAGACACACCTCCCTTGCCTTGCTGGCCATGCTGATTTTGATGCAGCCTTGGATACAGTTGGATTTCTGGGATGCAAGCACACATTGCTGAGTCATATTGAACTTCTCATCAACCAATACCCTCAAGTCTTTCTCTGTAGAGCTGCTCTCAATCTATTCTCCACCCAGCCTGTGCTTGAACTTGGGATTACCCTTACCCAGAAGCAGGACCTTTCACTTGGCCTTGTACTTCATGAGGTTCCCTTGGTTCCATGTCTCAAGGCTGTCCAGATCCCTCTGGATGGCATCCTTTCCTCCCAGGACATCAGATACCACACAGCTTGGTGGTGTTGGCAAACTTGCTGAAGGTACAGTCAGTCTCACTGCCCTTGTCACCAACAGAGATGTTAAAAAGTGCCATTCCCCATGCTGACCCCTCAGGAGCACCGTGGACAGTCCACTTGGACATCAGTGTTTGCCCCAACTCTTGGAGTGCAGCATCCTGTCAGTTCCTTATCCACAGAGTGGTCCATCCACCAAATCCACGTTTCTTCAATTTAGAGACAAGGGTGTTGTGTAGAACAGTGTAAAATGCTTGATAGAAGTCCAGGTGGATGAGGTCAGTAGCTCCATTGTAGAAGGTTATCAAATTGTCAGGCATGCTTTGCTCTTAGTGAAGCCATGTTGGCTTCTTATTTTCCCTGTGCCTTAGCATAGTTTTGAGGATAATCCACTCCATACTGGGCTCAGAGGTGAGTATATTCAAATGTATTTTTTCAGTTAAACCATGATTTATCAGGTATTTATCAGCTGGTATGTACCATGATATAGAACTGATATACTGCACATATTGTCTTGAAAGTCATCATGGGATAGCTGTTTATTACATTTATTTTTAATGATGGTGAAAATTCAAGAAACATACTCACCATGAGGATCATTACATGGATAAGCGCAGGTAACATAAAATCTCTCATAATGTAATATTCAAGCAATAACTAAAGTATATTTTTCCAGCTTCTCTCACTTCTTGTAATAACATTTTCAGAATATAAGTGTGTGTGGTTATAGTAAAACTGCCAAGCTCCCTCTGCCTTTGGAAGTATAAAAAATACAAATCATCTGTAAATACCAGCAATAGCATTCAAGTAATCACAGAATCACAGAATATGCTAGGTTGGAAAGCACCCACAGGATCATTGAACCCAGCTTCTGGCCCTGTACAGGACCATCCCCAAGAATCATACCATGTGGTGAGAGTGTTATCCAAACACTTCTTGAACTCTGGCAGGCTTGGTGCTGTGACCACCAAACCAATGCCCAACCACCATCTGTGTAAAAAATTTTTCTAATATCCAACCTAAACCTTCCCTCACACAGCTTCATGCCATTCCCTCACTGGTCATCACAGAGAAGAAATCAATGCCTACTCCTTCTCTTCTACTCAGGAAGTCATGACTCATGAGGTCCACTCATGTAGACTGCCATGAGGTCTCCCCTCAGTCTCCTTTTTCCAGGCTGAACAGACCAGGTGACCTCAGACACTCCTCATACAGCTTCTGTTAAGACCCATCTTTATTGCTCTGTCTTGGGTGCTCTCCAGTAGTTTAGTGTCTTTCTTATATTGTGGTGACCAAAACCGCACACAATATTCAAGATGAGGTTGCACTAGTGCAGAGTACAACAGGAAAATCACCTCTCTTGATTGCCATCTTTCCTAACCTCAGCATACATGCTGCCGGTAAAACTATGTCTGGTATAAAGTTCCTACTTTTCAGTGCTGGCAAGGCACCAACATAGCACATCTCTTGATAAAAGTGGCATATGGCACAGAGCCTTTTTCTGACTAATGGTGCAGTTGTCCTTCCTTACTCCTCTCTTTGGCTTCAGTTAATGTCTGTGGAAAGAGGCTTGCACTGGGCAGAATCACAGCCAGGGACTGTGGGATAGGTTCTTATCTCACTTGAGGAAATTTTGTGTGGCCTTCCTTTGAATTACTAGCATAAATGAGAGGAAGAACCAAAGGTCTGAAAATCTTATAGCCCAAGTAATTAATCAGTTTTACCAAATTTTCCTACTGAGGACAGGACAGTGCTTGAGTAAGTATCAGTCATTTATATAAAACTGTGTCTTCCAATTACCTTTTTTTCTGTTTAATGACAGGTTGAAGCTGTTTATTACTTTGCTGTGGGAGATGTTCCAGTGGACACAAAGCAGCTACTCCTTGAGAAAGTTTCAGATGTCTCCTGTCCAGTCAACATGGTGTCTTTCAATGCTAGGGAAGATGAAACTATTATTTTTCTGAAGGAGTTGAGCCACTTGGCCTCTGGCAGGTATGACAAAGAAGGACAGTAAAGATGACAGTATTCATGAAGTTCTTTGCTGTTAGAAGTGATATTGGGACATACCTGAGTATAATTCATGAGAAAAATGAGACAAAGCCATTCAGTAAGAGATCTGGGGATATGGAAATAGTCTTAAGATATATGACTAGTATGCAGGCCCTACTTAAACAGTCCATTTTTTTTTCAACATATGTTCTCACTGGCTTGCAGAAAGGCTATTCCCTTTTTATGCCCAAAATCATTTGCCATCTGCCTCTCTCTTGAAGTCTGAAAAAAACTGTTCAGGGGAAATGGTCACAACATAAACTGAAATAAGTTTTTGTTGTGTTGCTTTGTACATTAGTATAAAGTATTACATTCCTATCGACAAGCACCAGAAAAAGAACTAGAATTTTGTTGGGTCAAGTGCCATAGAGACAAGTACTGAAAAGGAGATGTCTGTCCTAAATGAACAGCTCATGGAATAACAGAAAAATGATGGGGTGTAATTCTTCAAGCCTGGTTGTGTGGAAAAGCAGCTCTGTAACATGCTCTCTAGCATCTTTTTGGTATGGTTGGTGGAAATTAATATATTCCATGTGGCTTTTGTCTGCTTTATCCTGGGAATCAGACATGTGGGGAGAATCAGCCTTTAGTAGAAATGGATAAGACGACTTAAATCTTGATTCTGTTATCAAAATAAGGAAAACAAATGAACAAATACAAAACCCACAAGACCAAACTCATGCTCAACGGCAAGAAGGCAGTAGGAGTCAGTAGGTGTTTCTCTGCTTAACAGAAGTCACCATACAGTTTCAGACTTGTGAAATTGCTGCTAGCTTTTTCTGTTTCACTGTTGTTTGTGCAAGAGTGGGAAGCCCTCCAACTGTAGAAATCTCCCAAATGACAGCAGAGCAATTGGTAAGATGGCAGCTGCTTAGCTCTTTTATAGCCATCTGTGTTTAGAAATAGCTTTTAGGAGATGGGAGCGTCTGCCAAAAACAAGACTGGGAAAGTGTTATGTTTGCTCTGGTCTGATGTGTGTTTAAAATGATTGTGGTCATTTAGAAGCATGGTACCTCTATGGTACCAGATATATTGCCAGTCACTATTCCTCATTTTCTTTTGGCAGTGTTTATACCTTCTTTATTTAAAGGAAAGTGAGTGTTTCTTGTATGGTATAGACAGAGGCAAAAAGGGCTGTGGCAGGGAGCTAAGAGGAGTTTTTTTGTTTGATACTATTCTCACTGTCATCTTTTTGCATGAATCTAGCTTTTGTGCAGAGACTTACAGGGCCTGTTAATAACTTGCTGGTGGATGATGGCCCAGCACCTGTATATAAGTTTAAGTCAGCTTTCCCACAGGAACAGCCAAGTTCATGTACTTTTCATGCCTTGAACCTGTTTCTAGTGTACTTCTGTTTTAGAAATGCATCTTTTTCCTGCTCTGAGAGCTTATCTGTTTTGACAATGAGGATAAATAAAGTCTGCTTGTCATCCTGATTTGTATGTCCATAATGAAATAAATGTTCCTGCTAGCCTTTCAACTGGGAGGATAATCTGATAAAAAGGTGTTAGTGTCATCTCAGACATCTCAAATTACATGCCTGCTCAGCCTCTTAAAAGCATTAATTAAAAATAGATTTCCAGGAAATTAAAGAGTAAGGTGCTTTGCAGTTAGTAATATCAAAAAGAAAGAATATTCTACATGAGAAGACTTCAGAAAGTACATAAATGTATATAAAAAGCTTGAAAATATTAATCTTAATTAATATAATCTTATTGTTGTCGAAGCTTTAGATATAATTCTGTAGTTGTGTGTGTGAAAAACATCTCTTTAAAATTAGAGAAATGTTTGTGTCTTTTGTGTACTGGTTGAAACTCATTTTGTATTACAGATTCCATGCTTTTGCTGAGAAGAATAACTGTAGAGATACTACTGGACCTGCACTAAAATATGAAGAGGATGGAAAAGGATTAATTGCCCTGAACTCTGGAAAAGTGAAAGGGAGAAGGCCACTAGGTAGACAATATAAACCTCAAGATTACACTGATATTATCAGCAACATGTCAGAAGAGAGATGTAGTTTAGGAACTTGATGAATGTAAAATCAGAGGAAACCTGTAGGTGTGGGTGGGGTGAGGACAGGACTGCTCTGGAAATGGAAATTCTCTGTGTGGGAAGGAGAGGGCAAGGAAAAGAAAAAAATGAAGAGAGTAGAAGATGTGCATGTGAGAATGAAAGAAAAGTGAAAAAAAGGAAGAAGATCATTTATTTAGGAATATGAGGAATGGTACTTGTGTACTTATAGCAGTGACCTTGTGGAAATGTATGGAGAAATGGTTAAAAGGAAGAGGAATGGTGTGGCAGACCATATGATACAACAGCCAACATCAACATAGGCCAATTTCATTGGTAATATAAGGGGATTAAAGCAACATGAGGCTTACTTGCTTGTCCCAAGAATTTGTCACAAAGACAAAAAGCACAGTAAAGTGACCATAGAGAAGGCAATGCAAAGTGGTGGTGGGAGGATTGATAGAAAAAATACCAGGAGGAAATAACCAAAATAAACAGTTTCACTGGTGGGTGGAGCTGGGCAGAAAGCTCAATGTGTTTCGTATTAGTCACAGTGCTACTTCCTCTGGGTGTTCAGTGGGGGACTGGACTGTGGTTTCAGCCAGGGTGGGAGGAGAGGGGCTTGTGATATGAAGTGAGGCTTTGTGTGTCAAATCTGATGTCTTTCTCAGCAGGAGAGTTAAAAAAAATATTTCTTTTAGGCATCAGGAATCATAAGATATCTTTAGTCTAGTGGCTCAACACACCTACCCCCTTCTCTCCCTTTGTGCTGGGGGCATTAGTGTTGCCCCAAAGGTAGAACAATGTTATCCTCTTCTCACTGTTAGGGAATGTATGGCATAAGGTGGATTTGGTGTCTCACGTAAGGCTGTTTGTCAGTCTTGGACTGAGTGGCCCATATTTGGGTTGTAATCAAGCTTCTTGCATACTAATCTATCCTTCACTAGGATCATGATTATAACAGCACAAGAGAAAGAACCATTGTGGGGGCCAGAAATAAAGAAGTGAGGTATCACCTGCTTTTTTGAGTCATGAAAAGACACTCATGGCTCACCCATGCAGAGTTTAGGAACCAACAGCAGACTCTGCTTCAAAACAGTGTCGTTTCATACTAATGCAGAGCAGTATAATGATTGCCTTCAGTCTGCTGTGAGTGCTTTCTTGCTGTACCACATTTGGGGGTGTGCATGGGGGGAGCTGCCTCCCTCTTCCCCTGGGGCAGTCAGCCTGTTTCAATAGATGAGCCTAGAGCTCCTGTATGACTGAAATTACTTCCTCACCACTGTTTCTAAAGCTGAAGGCTGAATAGCTTTAATCGCTCAAAAGGGCAGTAATCCCCTTGAAGTGCATTGTCAGTTGTGTCTTATTGCTATTATGGAGTAGAATTTACACATTAAAAAGGAACACAATTAGCTTTCTGCATTTACTGGGTATTACAAGCACAGCCGTGACATCACTGGCAGCCAATTGGAGTGTTTCAGTCATATGCAGAATCTTAAGTCCTTTCAGAAAAGAAAACACATTGAAGACATTATTCTGGTCTGTGTCTGATTTCTCTTGTTTCAGAGACTCCTTCAAGGGCGTAGTAATAAGGCAATAAAAATAAAAGTGTTGATTACTCACTAATGGGCTCTGAAACTGGTTCTTGGATATGTGGCATAAACTACGCAAGGAAATAAATAGAGAATGAACCAGAGATTTAATCCTCCAAATGTGGTGTTTCTAAAAACTAAAAGGAGGCACAGGAGTATTTTGATTATGCTCCTTTTTGCACCACAAATGCAACAGCTGGAGGGTGAAACTCATAACCATGTTATATGGACTGGAAAAGCTGTTTCAGCGACATCTGATAGTTTTGGGGTATCCACTGAATATCAGCATTTTGCAAATATTGGATATCTTTATGTTGATTCCTTTTCATCTGCTTAACAAAACAAGTCAGAACTATTTAAAATTTTAGATAAGAGCTCAATTCTCCCCTCTTTTGTATCTTGAGTAGACATTTAGAAAGCAAGTGTGATAAACTAACAATTTTTTGACACTCATTTTGAGTGGATGCTCAAGATCAAAACAGGTGTAACTCATTAAAGAATTAGGGTCCTTTTGCTGGCAGCCTCAGATTTACTTCTGGCAGAGAAATGCTTTTACATAAGGCCTTATTTCACCAATGTGATTATATCTCCTCATCCAGCGCTAATTTTCCTGTTATCACTTCTGCCTACATTCTTTGTGCAGTTTATTCATCTGTAAAAAGCTGTAGAATTAAGCAATCTTGTTATGTAGTTAAAATTATAAGTGGAAAGGAGGTGACATTTAAGTTGGAAGTCGAAGACAAGGAAGGCAAGGAATGGTGGAAGCTGTGAAGAAAAGATGTCTTTCTGAAAAAGGGCACATTTGTGTCATCTGCTTGGAGTAACAGGGTGATAAGTGCTACATAGTGCTTGAAAAGCAACAGTGCTTTGAACTAGATCCTAAAATGAATAGAGGGTCCTTGGTGGCTGACACAGAAACAGTAAATTTCTGCCTAGTGGTTTCTGTGTGGTGGAATAGATGAGCTGGCAAGTGTAGAGGAAATGCAAATGGACTGAAATCAGGATTTTACTGATGTGGTAAATCCAAAGTGTCTGACCTCCTTGTGAACAATATAAGGCTCTGTTCTTAGGTGTGCTTGATTTTTCATATGTGGGGAAATATGATAGGGAATATTTCAGGTTATTGTGTGTAAAAAAGGACAGCGTAAGAGCATCATTCTCCTGTATGACATTGAAGTCAATGAACTCTGCGCTGTTTATGTACAACTGACATGGGAAAGATTGAGCCCTCCCTTTGGAGAGCCAGAATAATGACTGCTTTTCCTAGAAGTTGTAGCAAAGATCATTGCCTCTGCTTTTTTCTTGCATGTGCTTTGTCTAGTTTTAGCAGCCTAACCTTGGCCTGGCAAATCTCTTTGCTAATGTGTAGAGAATGATGCAGATAGTTGTTCTGTGATACCACATGGGATACAAAGTTCATTTGCTTTGTCCATTTGCCCAGTGGAAAAGGGGCAGGTTGGGCTGCAGTGAGTTTCAGTGCTGTTTGACCTGGCAGGTATGCAGGTAAAAGCTGTGGACTACCCTCTTACACTTCTTTGTGCCGTCATTCATCCCCCTCTAAGTGGAGATTTTAAAAATCAATGCTTAAGGGTATATTGCTGTGTTCTGCTGCCACGTGGAGGCTGAGAAAGGGACTGGCAGTGAAGAAAATAATTTTCCCCATCTTCCCTTACCAACAAATTCATTTTCAGATAGATCTTATTTCATTATATTTGAATTTACTTGCTTCCATGGTTTAAGTCAAATATTCAGACAAGTAAGAAATGCTTCTGTGTTCCATGATTTGCTTTTGTATTGGTATTTGCTTCCTGTTTCAAAGATGTTGTAGGCATTTTGGATATTTTGTAGGTTTTTTGGGGTTTTTTTTTTGTTTTTTTTTTTTTTTTTCCAAAGCAGGATTATTTCATTAGCAGCATGGAAATCAGATGGGTTACAGTGACTTGTAAAACCGGGTGAGTTTGTTTGTGGGGAGGTACATGTGGAAAAGCTGCTTCTTTTGAGATTGTCTGCCAGTTCAATATCTGGGAAATGGAAATGAGGGCAGTTATGAGTTTCCGTGTACATGTGCGAGTGTGGTTGTGTTTTTGCTTAGGTCTAACATCTTGCTTCTCAGTTCGTGGGAGTCAGCAAAATGCTTCTGCCCCTTGCCACAGGCTCTCCCCACAACCTTCCTCATCCTCTTCCTCTTTCCTAGACCCTCCCTTCTGCAGAGCAGAAACGCCTTTACCTGCAGGCAGGGCACTCCTGGAACATTGCCCAGGGTGAGGTGCTCTGCAGGGTCAGGATGGCTTTGGGGAGAGCCAAGGGAAGCTGACTGCACTTGGCCCAGGCTGGACATGTGCAGCAGGGTGTTCAGGCCAGTCCCCTTGTGTGTGGCAGGTGGCCACCCTCCTGCCATTGCAGTGGGGTGGGTTTTGAATCAGAACTGAGGGGTCCTCAGAGGTCTAGCTCTTACACTGCCACCCAGAGCAGCTGGGAAGGTGCTTCATGGCAGGGGGAACCAGGAAGGCCCTTTCTCTCCCTGGATAAAGTAATTTTTTAAGACAAGATTATTCCCGGGACATGAGTGCCTGAATGTGTATAAGAGACAGTGGCTTGGAGTAATTGTGAACTGCACCCTCCAGAGGGGTGAATTTCTTTGGTTGGTGGTCCCCAAAAAATGGCACATCTGAGGTGTGAGCAGAGGGAATTTAAAGAAAGTGAGGTGCATTCTTTCTTGGTCATTTAACAGAAATGTGCTTTGAGGGATGGGCCACAGCTGAGAGCCACATCCAGAAGATGCTATGCTTTGCATGTAGGTTTTGATTTTGGGGGTTCCATTTTGAAAGACACAGGCCACTCCTTAGCTCTAGAGGAAAAGAGGCTGAGGCAGAGGTGCAGTTGAGCTTCCTGTGTAGAGAGAGAAAGCTGCTATGGATATCACTGCTTGCAAGCTTCTATCCCAGTTGAATCCTGGAAAAATGCTGTTGGAAAAAAGGTTTTAAGCAGCTGGAATTTTACAATGTGCAGTTCTTGGTGCCTGCATTTGTCCTGTGTAGCAAGTGACATCAAGCACACTTACTTTGAAAGGCATGCTGTGCTACAAGCATAAATGAGGAAAAAATATCTTCTCATGTAATACCAATTCAATTCACCTATCTTAATGGGGACAGTAACAATAATCCTGTAAAACTGATGAGTCCATATCATTAACTTAAGAGGAAATGAAGCAACACAATGATATAATTGCTATTGATTTAGAGTTAGTTAAGTTTCTTTAAATATTTCTTTAAATATTTTCAAATTATTAAAAATATTTTAAAATGTTAGCATATTCATAAAATTAAATCTGGATGACAGTAATTGACAGCTTGCGGAGGATATCCAGATTTATTTGGAGACAGCACCACTGGAATGGCATTCTTAACAGCCCTAAAGTTACAACTATGTTCATGTGTGGTGTGAATGCATGTGTTTGCATTTCTGGGGAGAGATTGCTTATAAAATAAAAGTAGAATTCTTTCTGAAATATTTGAAGGGAATATTTTTCTTAAGTTTAACAGGTAATGATTTAAGACTGAGGGGTTTTTTTTATTCCCTTTTGTGTTTTATGTTGTGGAATGATCTGCCTTACTGAAGCTTTTTGTGATTTAGGAAATGTTGATCTTTGTTTTAATGGCTGCAACAGATGTTTTGAAATGCAGGAAGGTCCCAGGAGATGGCAGTGTACAATAGCACAATTCAAAATACTTGTTGGAAACTGAAAGCATTTCACAATTAAAATCGAGTTATTATTTGTATAATTTTATTATTTTTAGTATTAGTATTGGTATTATTTCTTTCAGAAAGTTTATCAAAGAACTGGCAGCCTGCTTTAGTAGATAAATTTTCATGTGTTATCTTTCATACAGTGAACCATCACTGAATATTAGCTGAACCACTGGATGGTAAGATATAGTTTGCCTTGTTCAGCATTTTTATGTGCATTCATTAATAGGTTGTGATCTGCAATAGTTTGTAACCTGTATTTGTGGTTAGGATAGCTGATGATTCAGCTTCTTTTAGATTTTTACTGTAACACTGCACATGGTTTCTCTGCATTGTCCACTATTGCAGTTTAAACTCTGAGAGTAACTGAATTTAACACATTTTCAATAGCTATCCTACTGCTTAGGTATACAAGGTGTCTCAATTTTAGTAATTTATTTTATGAAATAAATAAGTCTTTTATTATTTTCATCAAGAAGGACATATCTGTTGAAATTGAGAAAACCTTTTCTCAATTCCACCTTTGGATCTTTCTAACTCTTTTTGAAAATATAGCTTGGCAGTAAATTTTTTTTTTTTTGGTAATGTTTGTTTATGAGTGTTGAAGATTGTTGGGAGGAAAATAAATTTATCTTTAGAAAAATTTCATTAGATAGTCATCAGGGAAAGAAGATTTAAATAAAATTAATTATGTACTTTAGGAGATATGGAAAGAGTCAAATTTGTCTTCTCTTTAAAATGTCAAAACTGGGTTTACTCTTTCGAGCCAAGTTTTGCAATAAAGTCCAGGGGGCAACAAGTGAATTTCATTGTGGATTTTCCTTATTATTTTCCAAGAGTGTTAAAATGTATTTGCTTCCACTGTGGGAACAATCTGTGGCCAACTTTGGAGGTTTGCTCCAATATATTAAACACCTCTCATATCCTGGAGCCAGGTTTGAGCCCTTTTTTTGAAGTCTGTCAGGGAACAGCATTTGTCATTGCAACGGAGCCTCAAGAAAACGAGGTTATACAGCAAGTTCTGGGTATACCAATGACTTTGTTGTGATTGAGGAGCTACAAAAAGCTGAAATTGAATAAAAATGTGAAGTTCTATTTATTATTTCTCTTGCAGTAGCTGGTGTCTGTGAAGATGTGTTTTTGATCTGGAAGGAGCTGGAGGAAGCCAGGAGTACAGTGAGACAAGTTCAGGAAATGTTATCAGAATCTGACCAGTCTGCTTCTCAAGATGGTATCATTTATGTTTCTTTCATAAGAAATACAGCTACCATTGTATTAATGATCAACATCTTTTGTCAACAGTTTTGATTGCACATCAGTTTGGGGATGATTTTCTCCAAAATGTCTGTATGCTGGGTATAGCACCTATGTGTCTATATAGCACTGTAATAGTTATCTAAACTTAGGATTGCTTAAAACTTTCCAGTACAAATCTCTTTTTACTGTGGTTTAAGCTTGCTAAAGTTTAGCAGCACAGGCTGAAACACACCATGTTTAGTTTACCAGTGACTAGGTTTAGAAATTACCTGGATTTTAGGATATGGAAATTATTTGGGGGTTTTTTTGTGACCTCTTCCTGTCTGCCTGAACCAGTAAATCTTCCATTTTTTCTACACAGTGCTGGTGAAATACCTTATCCCTCTCCTATCACAGTCTTCGTGGGATAGCCTCCAACCTGGTAGCTAGTTCATTCCACATAAAGGGAAGAGCAGAGGGGTTGCGTTTTTGTCAAGGGCAGAGATCTGAAAACGATTCAGAATAAGCACTCTGACAACTCCTGTCTTAAGAAACATAGAGGAACACCTACATTTGTTCATCCAACCCATAGTTTCTGCCATTATGTCTGGCCTAGAACATGACTCATTTGTTGTTCTGTGCCTACTGATTGGATTGAGCCCTGTTGGAGACAGAAGTGTAGCTGGTTTCTGAAGTTCTGTTCTGGAAGGCTTTAACAAGGGACAGTGAGAAGCTACTCAGTCCTGCAAAATTGGAGATGCTCTATGTAAAGCATATGGAAGAAAGAAAAGAACAGTTTTCTTTTCAAAACTGTGTGAGCACATTTGTGACACTTGTTCTAAGGACCACAAGCAATCATAAAGCAAAGTTTTCCACATGAACAGGCTCTGATTGTGCACCTGCCCTGATGTTGGCTGATCTCTGTGTGTGTAAGGACAGTAGATGCCTCCATATTTACAGGCTCAGGATCTCTCTAGTGTGGTCACTGTAGCTGCATCTAAACTGAGTAGACATTTATACCACCTTGTCTACCAAAATTAAAATATAACAAAATAAATTCACCCTGCTATGGGACCCACTGCCTTGTCATTTGGTCTAGGAGTGGTTTACTGGGATAGTGATGAGTCAATGGAGAATCCTGAATCCTACTATTTTATTTGTGTTATCTGTATACTGTACTGGTGTCCAGAGTTGTGCAGGTCCCTACCTTAAGATAGTCCTTAGAAAATTTGTGAAACTATATGACGTTGTAGTTTGCCTTTTACTTTAAATAGCCATCTCTAAACAGATTAATGTTATGGTCATGACTGTATTTTCAATTATACCTTCTGTTGTTTCATTTTCTCAAATGAATCTCCTTGAAGTTAGACATCTTATTCAGGATTACTTTCTGGCATTTTGTAATTCAGCTACTAAGAAAATTTGTTTTGTATGTTGATCCTCTCACTATTTATTGTCTTTGTTTCCTGTCTTCTGGTGTTTTTTTTTTTTCCAATTACAAAGAAATTTGTTGCAGTGAGTTTTCTGATAAGAAAAAACCCTACAGCCAAAGTACAGACTATTAAAAATCACTCAGAAATATCTATTCACTCCAATGCTGTCAGAGCAAGTAGAACAAGTTTGAAAATTTTGATTCCAGTATCAGTCTGTTTTTGAAAATAGCTTATCCAAAATGAACCATGTTATATAGGAGATTTTGTTTATTTATTTTCTTTATTAGCAGGCAAAGGTGATCATCCATTATCAAAACATATCACTGATGAATATTTGACTTCTGAGAAGTGGTTGCAGAAGTATGGCTTGAAAGCTCAGAAGCTCACACTGTATGATGCACTTGCTGATAGTGTTTTTCACCATGTAGATGGGCCTGTTGGCATAAACACTAAACCAGAGGATGAATGTTCACAAACTGATGCTGTGAGTATTGTTCATTTTCCCTCATGTCCTATGAGTTGTTTTTTTTTCTTTTAAAGCTTGAAAACTTGGTTGATGGATAAATTGATAATATAGTATATGGCATAGTTGTTTTGTATTTTTTGTTAAAATCAGATTATTAATTATTGAGACAGAATAATGATGTCTCAAAGAGCTTTTTGAGAATGCCTGCTTTAAGGACTTCTTGCTGGTTCACATACATTCTGAAAGGAAGAATCAGGACTGGCTTAAGAAATGGCTTGGTTTTCTTTGTATTTCTCTGGGGTGGGACCAAGATTTCTTGTTATCTTTAGAGGATGTGTTAGTCTCAGGTGTTGCAGTGTCCTCTAGTTCCTTAAGAAAATTTGGATTAATCTGTCTTCTATTTGTTTTTCTCAAGCTTTACTATTGACTGTTTGGTAAACTTCTGTTTTTTGCTAGCTGCAAGAATAAAACCACTTTCTATTGAATCTTTTTAGGAGCAAATTCTGTGAAGACCATATCCCATGGTTTATTTCTACTCCTGTTTGTGTGCAACAAGCATGTATCTTTGAAGTTTGTTCCCCAAATATTAAAGGCACTGCAAAATGATATGTTTTATTTTCCACATTAAATGTGTTTTTCTTTTCTGTAGGAGACAAAGAGGAAGATAATTCATGCAAGATACTGTGACAAGTTTGTACATACCCTCTGGAAAGATGGATCTGTAGTTCATGTATATGTTACTACAGAAAAGTATAAGCAGTATGAAGAGAAAATGAGGACAGCTCTCAGACAAGTGGAAGGAAGGTTTGTGTTCTTACACATAAAATCAGTTTGATCATTTTACATGAGTGTTGAAAAGTTTGACATTTACTGTCATAATAAGTTGAAGTGGTTGGTAAACTGACAGCGGCAGTACTAAGCCAGAAGTCTATTTTAAATCAGAATCTTGTGTGTTGGGTTTTTTAGTAGCCATAGAAGAAAACTGATGAAGATTTTGAACTTTTGGTCTCCTTCTGAAACACAGGTGTGAAAGTCAGTCTGCACATTTTTTGAATTACTGCTGAAAGTGCCAAAAAGTATTGGGACTATAAGGTGGCAGACAACTTCAAGAATCATCAATAAAACTTAGTAAGCATTCATCTTGTGTACCCAGGATGCCTTGTGACACCAAGAAGCACAGCTTGGCTTGTGCCTGTACTGATGGTGGTTATCTGCCCTTTTGTAATTTTATGTTGAAGACAAGTTTGAACAGTCTAGATCAGAGTCAGTAATGCATATGATCACAAGTTCATGGCTCAAACTAGCTGTGTAATTTACATTTCTTCAGCCATATGGACACTTAGGTTTTGTATGACATCTACAAAATAATAGGTAGTCTAAGGAAAACCTATTGTAGAACAGAAAAAAAATAAATTTTGCCTTCTGGTTTGTATATTAGGACAAGATGCCTCACTGAAAAAAGAAGGATGTGAACCTTTATATTATTGGTGAATTTTTCATTTTATTTCTCCTTCCCTGCCAAAAATATAACAATCTGATTACATTTAGCAAGGTCAAACAGAGTTGTGTTATTCCTTCTAGTTTACCTTCATCTTACTGTATTTAGGATAACATTTACATACTGTCAAAGGAAAATTTGAGATAAGCAGTTGTGGTGAGTGTGAATTTTTGAAATCCAAATCAAGATTGCTGTTTTGAATGTTTCATCTGAATGTTAAAAAGTCTTGGTAGACCTCACCAAACACTTTGGATGAAATAACTAATGACAAAATATATATCAGTAGCTAATGTAGCAGTATCCTTATATTTCCATGTTAGAACTTTTCTGAAACCTGTGGAGATGAATATTTTTCCCAGGGCCATGATGTTCCATGTGTTTAAATGTCTCTGTTTCAGTGTAGATAAATATTTTATGACTCTCAAGGGAAATCAGATTTGGACTTGCTGCATCCATTACTGAGGAAATGTTCTCGTGCAGAGCAGTATGTATGCATGTATTTAACTGGCTGGTACATCCCAGTCCTGTTTAAAATGTAAATCAAACTCTGTATTTAAGGCTCAAGGTCCACAAACCATTGAAGCATCTGTGTTATATTAAGGGTCTTTGAAGTGCTTAAGTTCCTTGGAGAAGAGATTCTCAAGTGGTTTCCTGAGAAGGGAGCCACAGTAATATAGGCTTAAATGATTTACTGAGATGAGTCTGGAAAACAGATACAGGGACCATGGTTATACCTATACCACTTGTTACATGTTGCTTCCACGTTGGATTTCCCAGCCCAAATTACCTGATAACTGACTTTAGAAAGGTGCTGTATTCTTTTCTATTGAAATAAAAAACTAATAAAAAACTAAAAATGCCTTGTGATGTAGGGACAGGGGACTGATTCATCAACAGCTTCTGATAGTGACTACTAACAGATCCTTTGGGAAAGAGAATAAGAAATATGGCAGTGACAAAAAGATCCTACCTTTCAGATTCTGATACACAGAGCTCCAAGGATGTTACAGAACAGGTTTTGATTTTTTTTTTCGTCCCCCAGGATTAAGTGGCTTCAACAAGGAAGCAGAGGGCTTTTTGGGAATGTGTTTGAAGATGATATCTGTATTCTTATTGATACATCACAGTCTATGAAAAACAAGCTGCCACTAGTGAAGGAAAAAATATTTCAGCTAATGCAGGTATGATAAAGGGATGACTCTGAAGGCTGAGGAACATTTTAGAGTAAACTGATCTCTTCTGGATAGTTGTTACTCTATTTTTTCCTTATTTTAAAAAAATTTTTGAAAACAGCAGCTTTATAAAAATATTTAGATTTTTCTTCATGTGCTCATTTTTTAGTTATTTCCCCTCATTTATACAACTATTTGAAAAAAGCAAGGGAAAATATTAAAAATTTAAATTGTTTAAGTCATTCCTTCCCTTAAGCCACCTCACTTCTAAAGAAAATAAAAACAAGCAAACTAAAAAACAAACAACAACAACAACAACAACAAAAGCCAAACCAAAAACAAGCTATGCAATTAAACCCCTTTTGGCGTTTTCATTTTCACTTTTAAGCAGTGTCATTCAATTCCATTGGCTTGTTGTGATTTGTAATGAGCGTTCTAGATTCACTTTCATGCTTCTACAATAGAGGGTGTAGAATGTTTTGGACTTCCTTGCATTTTACAGTGACTCAGAACTTTGCACAGGGACTGGCAAAGTGCAGGAGTACCTCAAAAGCTATGAGTACTGGGAGACACACCCAAGAAAGGATTGTCTTGTCTACAATGATGTCACCTAAGCTTAATTAATATTTCAGAGACACGATTAATTTTAAATTTCTTTAGTCCTAAGAGAAGTAACTGAGATGAAAATCCAGTCTGGCATTGATAGCAATCATTGGTAGGACTAAAAAAATTGAAACTATGACAGAGAGATTTTTGAACTAAGTGCTCAAGTCATAGGATATAGTATTTTGTGGTCCTCTAAGCAGATCAGCACTAGAAATATATTAGATACTGTGCCAGAAGGTTTCAGAGGAAGCTGCACAAAAATTATGATGAAAGGGAAGCAAAGAATTCAGGCTCTGAAAGTTTGTACTTGCTTGCACAAATCTTCCCTAACTTAGAACTTCTGTCCAAAAGTAGCTTCAGCAAAGTCTTGATTTTCTCCTGCTGTCCTAGTTCTCCTTGCCAGTGTTCTTTATATGATTCTTGTTCTCTTCCTCTAAATGATATCTTACTTTCTTTCTGATTTCAATTTCCTCTGGGAAGCAGTGATAATCTCTTTCTTACACCACTGATCATATCTGGTTTCATCTCTCTCTTTCATGCCCTCCTACACATTTGCTGTTTAAATTGTTTGAGAAATATGAGTATATGGAGACTTACTTTGGGAATTTCAAGCAATCTTAATAGTTGCAAGCAATAAATGTCTCTGGCTTTTTATGTCTCTCTGGACACCATATCTTTTAATATTATTACAATAATCATATTAAAATATAAATATATTTTAAACATAATTTATATAATAATAATAAAATAGAAACATATTTTAATATGTTATAATTTATTGCAATAATATCATTACTTGTATAATAATTAAAATAATTGCTATTACTCAGTATTTCAGGATACAAGTATTCTTTCTTTTAATAGTAGGTAAAATTCAGATGCTGTCTCTTGCAGGAGCAACTGAGACACAAGAAGAGATTTAACTTTGTGAAATTTAGTGCCCAAGCAGTGGCATGGCAAGAGAAACTTGTTGAAGTGAATGAGGAAAATTTGCAAGATGCTTGGCTTTGGATAAAAGGGCTTGAGGTAATATGGCAGCTAACTATTACAAAGAGTGTTTGTTTAAAGTTGTGTATGTTTCTCCACTTTCTGTATGGCTGGAGTGATTTTGCATAGATGCCTTTGACTTGAGTAAGCTGACAGTATAGATGATGGATAAAATTAAGCAGATCTGAATACAATGTGTTTGTCAGATATATAATAATCCTTTAACAATGGGCCTGTTTAGGAAATCACATTAATTAAACTTGCAGCCTGCTATGTTTAGTAGCCAAAATGTGAGCATTGGCCCACTTGAATTCTGTAGGAATCCTGTAATCACTCAGACCCTGTGTTTAAATTTGTCATTCTTGCTGCAGGGCTGCTGCATGGGTGAGAGGCATTGCTGGCTAACTTACTGCTCAGAGGTGGTACAGGAGACCAAAACCAGCAAACTGGAGAAGCATTTCTAGTCCCTTTTGATGGATAGACAGCTAACTTTAGGTGCCATAGAAACATGAGAACAAACATACTCAGATCAAACATCTACCCAGTATTCTCTCTCTGACAGTGGCCAAAATCTGTTTTTCAAAACAAAGCAGAACTGCTTGTAGTCAGTCACAGTCATCCACCAGATTGTAACTATCAGCAGGTTTAGGACCACTTAATGTGTAAAATGTGGACAGCAATGTTATGAACACAGGACTAAAAATCAGTCATGCAAAGGTATAGATACATCCCACATTATGTTTTCTAGCACAAACCCCCATGTTCATGTAATAAAACTCCTCAGCATTATGACATCTCTTCTTCAGCCTTAATATGAAATTCCTGGGGATGAGGGAATTGAGGAAGCAACATAATACCTCTGAGACTACAAAGCAAGATCAATAACTTGGTATTCTCAGAAAACACTAACAGACTTTGTTGCTACAGCTAACTTTTTTGTGCTAAAATATAAATGATACTTACATTAATGTGTGAAAGGGGTAGATGGAAGAGAGTCTGGAAAAATATGTTTGGAAAACCAAGAACTCCTTTACCAGTTTTGGAGAAATAAAATTGTGCAACTCTTTTGAGCAACTTTTGAACTGTTTGATTAAGTAAAATATGTGTTTCAAGGGAGTGCGATGAGTTGGCAAGCAGGGGCATCAGTGGTAAAAACGAAGAGAATGCATCTTTTTTCCTACATCTTCCTGTCTGTTTATAGCCTTTTAGTGATTGCTTTTGCTTGTACAGCTCAGATTGCTGCTGCCAGCATTTTGCTTCTGTGTGTTTGCATAAGCACTGAATACCAATCTGGTACCAATTTATTTTACATTGACACTTGCTTAGCTTTTGTTAGCTACATGACATAAATGTTTTCACCATTTTATTAGTCATTTTGGTTCTGTATTATCCCTTGAATCAGTACACTGTCATTATGAATTTAAGAGCAGAGGCAAAGAATTGTATTTATAGCTGTTTCTTGGTCTTTTTGATTTCTTAGGTTGGAAGTTCCACAAATACACTCAAAGCTCTCCAGACTGCTCTTGCTGATACTGACACTCAGGCTATTTATCTCTTGACTGATGGGAGACCTGACCAGGTATTTCAAAATGAGAAAACAGAAAATGCAGAAAAGAGGTGTCAGCAGTTGGAATTATGAGATGAATGTCATACCTGTAGTGCTGAGTCTTGTGGAGTCTCTTGGATGTTTATTGGCATTGTTTCACAGTTTTTCTAGCTAAGAGCATAAATTAATACTTTACCAAAGAATAATTTGGCTTCATGTACAACTCATATTCCTATTTTTAATATTTTTATTAAGTTCAAAATTAGGGAATAAGTAATTTCTTTTTAGCTTGTTAATAATGTCTTTTATACCTTTTTAACAGTTAAATAAAGAAAATGGTTGATGTTGCTTTTAAGTATTAAAGTTCAACCAACGCAAGTATTATATTGCAAACATTACTTAATTTGTCAAGATTTTTGAGTATTTTGAACAACTGAAATGTTATCCGAATTTAGAGAACTGAGTCAGTAATTTTTTTCTACCAGATCCTTCATCATTTTTGGAGATGGTAGATCTACTTTTTCACCTAGTTTTTAGTTCGTTATGGGAGGAGGAAACTAGCTTTCCTATTTTCTCAGCCTCTACTTTGTTTCCTGGTATTGAAACAACTTTTCTTTGAACTAATTTGATTTCTTAAAAGGATCCACACTCATATACTTCCAAAAATATTTTTATATATATCCAGTGATGCTAAAAACTAATGTGGTAGTTTAATTTCCTAAATGTTAGTAATTTATTTTAAAATTTCAGAAACAAAGAGTACTGATTATATTACAATTTACATCATGTGCCTTAATGCACTTATCAGTCTTTTAAACTCAGTTTTAAATTAGCTCATTTAGCTAATTTCTGATTGAAATAGCAATCTGTATAAAGTGGATGCTTTTAACTGATCTATATATATCTCTGAGCAACAGAACAACTGATTAAATTGTTACAAATTCTCCATGCTTTGATGCATATGTTTCTAGATCCACATTTTTAACATAAAGTTTTTTTTGATTTTCAGCCCCCCCAGATAATTTTGGCTGAAGTCCAACTTCACTGTAAAATTCCCATCCATACTGTATCCTTCAATTGTGATGATATAGAAGCCAATAAATTTTTGTATGATCTATCTACCACAACAGAGGGACGGTTTCATTATTACAACATTTATTTGAGTGATCCCGATACTCCAGAGTTTATTTTTGTGAGTATCTGAAAATCAATATATTTGCTGCTTCATGCTACTTTGGAAAGCCACGTGACTTGCACTATTGTGATTTCATATTACAATAGATTACTAAAAAAAGAGAGTTAATTCTAGTCAGATTTGACATGATATGAAAGCAATAATATGATTGCTTTGCTTGTAAAATTTTTCTAGACAACAACAAAAAAAAGGCTAAATATAATGCAAATTACATTTGTAGTGCTACTGTTGCAAACACATTCTCCCTCTCCTGATGCCCCCCTCTTGAAAACGAAAACCTAAAAGTAAAACATGTCGACCAAATCAGCTCTGGAAGGAACACGTGATCTCCACTGTTTCAGAAATAAATTACTGTTTAAAATGAAAGCATGGTTTGTATCCTGTTAATAAATGAGAGAATGCAGAGCTGAATTTGAATGATAATGATTCTATGGATTTTTTGTTACAAGTTTGTTCTGCAGTAGCTGCTTGGGAGAGATCTATAAGAAGTAAGATGACTAGAATAGCAATCATCTATCAAATGTGACTAAGCAGCTCAACAGTCCCCAAGAGGACATTTCTGAATAGACTAACAGAAACACCCATTTGAAACATATTCTTGCTTTTAATTAAAATTAACACTCAGTGAATTGATTGCATAGATTTCGGAAATGGTGGTAGTTGAACCATGAGAACAGGACACTACTGGGAAATTTGAACTTTACAGACACCAATTAAAATGAAGATGTGAAAATAATCCAGCTCTTGAAAAATGTCAGTGTACTGGGCAATTTCAGTGATTCTGCTGGTGTGGACTGTGGGACACTGCTCACGTTGGAAAAATGAGGGCCAGAGTCTGTGTTGTACATCTCCAGACTTGGACATGGGAGCCTGTGGTCATGTGGGAGCTGTACAGGGATCATTGTTGGAATTTCCTTCCTGTTTCTTCCTCTAGCCTAAATGATTCTTAGGCAGTTCCAGTGTTCACTTGAAGAGTATTTTTTTTGCTTCCCTGGGCCTGGGACAGTATGTGATACAGCTGAGATCTGTAGAATAACAGGCTACACCTTGTAATGTACATATCTTGCATTGTATTTGATTTATTTGCTCATTTTCTTGCTTGCTTGAAATGAGTGGAACTAGTGACCTCATTACCTCATTACCTGAAATACAGCTGTTCATATCTCAAGGGGAACTGGCTAGTTAGGGAATGCTTGCCATTTTCCTAGAAAGGAAGAATAATTTGAAAGGCTATAATACCAAGCACAAGAGCCTACCTGAAAAAGTATACAAAATTTGGAAGCTGTCCTGAATCATTGTTCAGAATTATTATCAGAACTTGCATCATTTCAGTTCAGAAATGAAACATATTTTGGAGTAATTGTACTAAAACATTTGATTTTCTCTTTGTTAGAATAAAGACATATATCTTTTGAAAAGAGAAATTGATCAAGGAGAGAAAGATCTAGAGAAAGTGAAGACCTTTCATGAGAAAAGTCTGATGATGAATTCTTATAGTGAAGAAAATTATCCAGAGAATAAGTATGTCCTCATTGTGCTATTATGTTAATAATAGGTCTGAACTATCTCTTACATTTTTCCTTTTGAAAAGACAGTTGTTGCTTTCTTACTCTCAGGGTTTTTTTAACAGTCAAAGTAATGGAAAAGAAAAATCTGGAAAAATTAACTAATTCTGTGATGCCTGAAACAAAATTATCTCAAATATACCAATAGTCTCAACATATTACAAATAATTAAAGCGAAGAGGGGAAATTATTTTTTTGTCTCCAACACATGGTAAAATTGGTCCCTCTGACCTAGGGAATTCATGAAAAATTATTGTCATCTATGTAGAGCTGGCCTGATACCTCATGACTAAATGGCTGCTCATTGGAATATGCTGACTGAAACATGAATTATGTACAAATATACTTGTGTATTTATTTGTGCAGTGATACTAAAAGCATTAAAAATGCATTAAAAGAAATTAGATTTCTAAGACAGAAATCTATTTAAAACAGTAAAAGAATGAAAATAAAAATTATTACAAGTGGACAGTGATGTGTTATGATTTCATGTATGAAAGAGAAGGTAGGATGTCCAGTATGAAAATATTTTTAAGTGCTTATTTCAGAATTTGCATATTTTATGTTTTATTAATGCTGGGACATATATATATGTGTGTGTATATATATATGTGCATATGTATGTATGTGGCAGATATTCCCATTGTTGATGGTAGTTACTTAGCCCTGGGACTCAAAGTAGCTATTAGAGAGCATTCTGTTCTTATTCCAAATACATGGGTGTTATCTTAAAAGTAATGAACATATTTTAAATAAACTAAGAAATTACATTTAAAAAATTAAAAAATCTAAGAATATTTTGACCTGCTTTGAACTCTCCTTTGAAATGCATATTAGTATAACAGAAAATATTTTGCACTGTTCAAAGCATTTGAAATCAGTGTTTAAATTGCCAGAAAACTTCAGCTTAGTGTTATTAAACTGGTGTTATATATTTGCAGTAATTTCTTTTTGTCACTTACAAGCTGTAATCACAAGCAGACACACACTGTGTCCCTGTTTCTAAACACATTAAAGAGCTGAGTACTTCTCTTAGGAGTAGGCCATGCTGTGCTTCAGAAGAACCATCAGTGCCATCACACGAGCAAACCAGGCAAAGCACTGCTGCCAGTCCAGCCCAAAGAAAGAAAGCATTATATGCAGGTGAGACTCATAGGAGCTGTAATTCTCAGCAGAATTCATTCACTAACTTGAAAAGATTCTGTTGCAAATAGCAAAAATCATCTCTTGTTTTGGGAACAAATTAATAGTTTGCTGACTTAAGTAATCATCATTTTGAAAATATAAACTTCTCTTCATCTGTACTTCTCAGCCATCCTACTTATTTGGTGCAAACAGACAAATGTCTTCTCATTTGTGCTTTGTCACAGGCACTGCTATGAAAAAAGCTATTTTAGCAGAATGTTTTGAGAGCTCTGTAAACAGTTTTTTAACAGTAGATATTAAACCCTAATCTCTTTTTATTCTAAGTAAGTACATAATTAGCAAGAATGAAGAGGTGATCTATATTGTACCAATTACAGAATTATTTACACTAATGTTTCCCCTTACTACACCCATAATACTACATTTCTCCTGGAAGTGTTCTTTGTATGCAGTCTGAAACTAAATTTACCCAGCTAAAGTAAAATAAACCCTCATCTTTGGGGAAAATACAAAGTACAACTTAGCGTTGAAGTAGTTTTCTGCTTGATGTATTGTGTAGGCAGCCCCTTAAAAACTGAATACCAAAGAGGAACTCAAAAATCTCAGGCATGTATTTGAGCAGTAAGTTAGCTCTTCCTTTCTTTCTCTTTCAACAACTACAGATCAAACAAAGTCAAGTCTGCTGCAATTCCTGAACAGTGGTGTGAAATTTAGGGAAGAAAGCCCAGAGGAAGGAGTGTCTCCAGAGGAAAAGAGTCTTTCTGTCAAAAAGAGTGTGAAATGTACAACCATTTTCAAAGGAAAGTTGACAGAACAAGAAGCTCTGACTGGGGAAGATGGTAAGGTTTCTCCCATTACATTTGTAACTAATGGTGCCTCATTTGAGGCAAAGCTGTGCAGATCTGCAGTACAAAGAAATGAAACTCAACAGAGATACAGAGTTGGACATGAAGTTGGGTATTGTGGCAGTGTCCTTACAGCTGTGGCCAGACTCCTGCCAGTTCTCCAACTAGCTGTTTACAACCGGGTTTTCAATGGGGCTTAGAAATACATCCAGATAGTATTAATTTCTTTCAGTAATTAGTCCAAGTCTGAATTTTATCATGCATCTTCTAAGTAAATCTAAAACCTTACCTGTGACAGTTGAAGATGTTTGACTTTTTACATTTCAGCATCTTATGTTTAGTTTTTTTTATATCTTTTATAGAGATTTTCATAGTGGTGTACCTTAAATTAGCTACTCCTGGCCATCTCATTAGTGGTAGTACTTGGTGTTACATCTTGACTTGGGAAATAAGCTGGTTAATCTTTGATCTTGGTCAAAAATAAATAAACTGAAACAAATTCCAGTTTAAAAAACAAATTACCTTCCTATTTTATAAATTTCTTCTCTGGCTGATTAGGGCTCATGAGGCATATAGTAGCACTGTTACTATTGATCATGCACCAGGAAGGCGAGGAAACTTAAAAATAATTTTCACTGATTAATTTAGCAGCTGAAATGTTGTACAGTTGTTGTGCATGATGCTGCTTGTAGGCTCAATTAAAAAAAATGATGCTATTATATGGCAACTAATTTAGGCATACTTTTGTGTGCACAAAACCTCTGAGATAACAAAATGCAAATGTTTTCTCTTAGATCTGGAAATGCAGACTGTGAAAGGGGCATCTGAAAGGTATGTATGTGCATATATAAAGGCACAACAAAACTTACAGTTTACATATTTTCTTCAGTCATTTCAAACCTTTCAAATGTGCTTTACCTTGAGCTACATCTCACAGTCTCTCTTTTCTAGCTCTCTAGATGTCTCTTCAGCTCTTTGGTTAAAGACCCATGGCTTGGCTGCTAGGCGACTCACCATCATGGATGCCATAGCTCCTACAACTGTCCTTCACAGTACAAAATACATCCCAGTTCTGGACAAGCATGTAGTTTCTAAAGTATTTGATAAGGTAAAATTCCTATACTGTTTGAAAGCTAGAACAAAATTTGACAGTGATTTCAAAAGGTTTTTTGAAATGTCATAATAACATTTTCTGGTATTGTAGATTGTTGATGTACCCTAAATTTGTCATGCATATCTGAATGTTCATTCATGCATCAGTAAGAAGATAAAACTGATAGTTAGTAGTATGTCTTGCATGCTTTACCCTTAAGTTCTTTCACAGTTACCAGCTGATGTCAGTGTGCAGCCATTGGGTGTTTGGCAATTTCTTGAGCATTGCATCCTCCACTAATATTTATTAATTCACTGGAGGATGTCTATTATTCCATAAAATCATCTGGAAAAGGGTACTGGTGCACACTTTGTGGATTTGTGCCTTCTCAACTTTTACATGGAACTGCTAAGATATTTTGAAAAGTATTGTCATTCAGGAATTAAAATTAAATTTTGAGAGCTGTAAGGCAGTTGTAAGATTATGTAAAATTGTGGGGGAATTTTGTGTCATAAAGTTTAAATTGCTATTCCACTTACAGGAAATCCATTTCATGGCAAATTTCTCTCATTTTTCTTGTGTGATGCATCCTGCCAAATGATGCAGGATTCATCACACAAGAAAAATTAGAGGAATTTGCCATGAATATGCTGCAGCTCATTTCAATTAATACAAACTATTTCTTTAAACAATGCTCAAGGAAAAGCTAAGCTTTTTTTAAAATAATAAAGAAAGAAAAAGGGATTTGTAATAGAATGAGGTATAGAACTAAGTAAAAGATTTATACCAAATGTACACAATTTTTCATTTTGAAGTATTCATGCTTGTTTTTTAAATTTAGGAATGGGAATTTTTGCTAAAACATGCAGACTGTAGAAGAAAAACCAGTTCCTCTCTTTGGTAAAACCAGTTCCTCTCTTTTGGTAAAACCAAGTCAAAATCAAGATCTGTAAGGATTTTTTTTAAAGTGTGATTTTTTAGAAATAGAATTAAAAGATGTCTTTTTATAGAAGAACATTTTTTAAAGTACATTTTAACATTTCAGATGTAAAATAGCCATTTTTTCAAAAGAATTCAAAGAATTCAGACATTTAATAGTTACAAAACTGTGCAAAACAATCTACCATAAATGTCAAACAAAGACATTGGGAATTGCACAAAACTCTTACATCTCCTTTGTGAGCAGTCGCTTCTTTTTCCATCTTCTTCTGAATATATCTGAAAGGTCCTCTTTCTTCCATGTTTCTCAATGAAAAGCCCTTTGAGTCCTTTACAGACAACCATTGCAAAAAATAAAGCAGTCTGTAAAACAGTCTGTCTTTGAAAGTAGCCTAAATTGTGATTCAGCAAGTGCTGTGTACAAGTAGTTTTTAATAGCAATTAATAGGAACTCCTGGTAGTCTAGTTCAGGACTGAATTAAGTTCAGTGTTATTTGAATTGACAGGTGCTGTACAGAATCCAGACAGTGATCCATGGGCTTTCTTTAGATTCAGGGATGTAAAGGCAAAATAATAATTTTTGTAATTTCTTCATACCTACTAATCTCCATTAGTTGTAATAAGACACTCAGTTTCTCAGGCAGTGGAGAATTATTTTTCTATGTGTAAAGGAATGGGTTTTTCTGGATCTGAAGCTGAGTATGGAAAAGAAAAAGAAGGTCGAGGGTTGCACACAAGGTGAAAGCAGTAGAATTTTTAAGCTACAGAACCCACTTGACCTCAAGCTTCAAGCCAGCATATCAAGAAAATAGGGTGAGACTATTAGACTATTAATAGACAGTGAGCTTGAATGGGAGACTTTCAGGATCTTGATTATTCCAGTACTTCAGAAGATTCCACTGAAGATAATAAATGTACAGATAATTTTGCATTCTTCCTTCTGAGATCCTGGATTTCTTGGTGTGGAATGCAGACATCCTTGTTTGCTTTTCAGGGGGTAGTATAGTTTTTATTTTTGGCCTTTGCTGGCAGTGATGATGGAATAAGTATGAACAGTTTTCTTATCTTGGAGATGCAGCAAGAAAAAGGTTTCCATGACAACTGTTCATTAACAAAAGTCTGACCTGTTTTCAGTTCTGTGCTATCTGTCAGTTACACCTGAGTTATCTCAAAGAGGTTAATGTATTAAACTACCCATCCAGGTTCATATTCAGAAAAAAATATAATGGCTTGGGAGCTTGTCCAAATTATGCTATGTTAATTCTGGGGGAAACCTTCCCTGTAGAATCATGTAAATTTATGTTACAGGCTGTGGCATCTAAGTACAGGTTTGCAAGTCATGAAGTTTTGACTCAGTGCTTTGCTCAAAAGAATTAGATTCAGCCAACAAAACCATCTTTCTTTGGTCTAAAATAAGAACATTGTTTATATGGTTATTGTGCTTTGGTTTTGTCTTTAGAATTTTGAAATTTGAGGTTTGAAATAAAAGCCATTTTTAAACAAGTGAATTCTTTTAGTGTAAAAGTTAAAGTATTTAATTTAGAAAATGGAAAAACATTTTGGCAATAAAAAAATTTCTGTGTGATTTCTATCAGCTGAATCTGTAAAATTTCACTTGACTTCGTGAGCAGTTTTCATTGTTCTCAAATTATTCATAGTATTTCAAGTTTAGTATTTGCTAAGAACACATTCCATTCTGGTTTTTGTCTTCAAAAGTGTAATAATGTGTTCATGCTTGTCTGGTCCTTCTATTCTATACAAAATATTTTATGAATTGTATAAAATATTCATGTTGCAAATTATGCTGTTTGTACTTGAAATTCCTCTCAGAATTTGTCAGGCTATGTAGATGTGGGCTCCTACATGGTGAGGCCCTGCTGAACTTCTACAGTTTGAGTAACATCAAAGAAAACAATCATGGCATTACAGAACTTGAAGGGGTCATCACTTCCCTGCCTGTCAGCTTTCAGACTTCACCTGGAAATGACAAGTAGCCAGACATCACTGCTCAGAATTATGGGCAGAGATTTACCTCATCTGTCTCCAGCAAGATGCTTTCACTGACATGTTCCCACTGTCTTTAGCTTCCAAGTGATTTTAAGATTAATTTCATATTAGGAGCTTTGATGTGGTCTGGCACTGATGTGACACAGATTTATTAATCAGAGAGACACTGTCCTTGGAAAGAGAGGGTGATATAAAGCCACACTGCTGCTCCTAAAAAATGATTTTTGTTGCAATTTGAAATTGATTCAAACACAAGTACAGCATTACTGAAAAATGTTCTCAGCTAAATAATTCTCTTTATTGTTCTATTTCCTGATAGTTTGTCTTATTCCCCCAACAGGGATTTTAGTTTAGTGTAAATTGAACCTCATCCATGTTTTGCTCATCTATATCCTGATCTCAGACAGGCACTTGGGGAAGATTCCCACTCAGTCATATGTGTTGAAGACAGTTAGGGGGAGAGTAACACTCTCTTTCCTCTGCAGTTTCTTCCTTGGATTTTTTTTTTTTTGTTTATATTCAGCATCAAGACATTGATATGAAAAACAGCTATTTGTTTACAAACTACTGAATAATTTAAGGGGCTGAAAGATGGTGGGACTTTGGACTGAGAGTTTGGAAGGCATCTTTCCTCCTCTTTAATCATCCATTTCTAACTTTTTCTCTGCCTTTTGAAGATCTACTTGCAGTGGTATTAATTTCTTTTTATAATGAAGCTGAGTTATGTAGGTGTTGTATTGGGAGATTTGAAAAATATTAAAGTTCCTGATTCTGATGAACCTGATTAGGTTCCTAAATAGTCCAGACAAGTTTTGGTGACCAATGTCCACCTTGTTTGCTCTTTGGTGATCAGTTTGATGGTGAGAAATACCTCTCTACAGCTTTACTACTCTAATTCCTTGCAAAAGAAAGTCCTCCAGAAAAAGAGCATTAAATACATTTAAATATCTACTCTCACACCTGTATGCTACAATGAGATGCTAGAAAGTATGAGAGTGTTTTAAGGCAGTCAAACATGGAATATGGTCATACACTAGACATACTTGTTTCCTTCTGACTTACATTATTGGAGCAAGTTGTTTGACAGTACTGATTTACTTAGAATTACTTAATAGTTAGGAATCTTAATTTGTAACTTCTTCATAATGAGATTGTTTTATTTTAGAAGAAATGGCTGGAAACTGTGTCTTAATTCTGACATTTGTGGTGCTTAGATTTTTCTTTCTGCAGCTTCCAGTGTTCCTTCTGGCTGTTCTGAGCCTTGGCATTCAGTCATTCATAAATTTGTATGATAAATGATATCTGTGTCTTTTATTATATGATAGATGTTACCATTGGCCCATGTTAGCAGTGACAAGAAGGAGATTGCACTAATTAATCCTTGGGCAGTGAATCTTGATGCCTATAAAAAGAAGCTGGAGCAAGCAATTATATCCTATGAGAGGCAAGTCTACTCACCAGAAATTTATTATGGTTGCAGTCATATTTTTTTCTCAGGTACTCAGTATTTCCTCACACATACTTTGCTCAATATTGATAATTCTGCATGTTGACACACTTTAATCCACCATCAACATTTAGGAGAAGTTTTATTTTCTTTAAAAAAATTAAAGCAGAATGTAAAAACAGATAATAGGCAAGGAGATAAATAACAACATGTTGCTCATATTATGTTTTTTCAGTAACAAAAGCAAAATTCTTTTACTTTTTGGGAGCAAACCTGAAACCAGTCATCCCTCAGGAGGAATTTGGCCATAAACATACATTGCTAGCCAGACTTGTAACTTAAAACTAAGCTCCTATATAAACAGGCTGATACTTTAATTAGGCACCTGTTTTTTGCTGCCAGCTCTCTATCACCCAGCTATGAATGCAAAAATATAATTGAGACACCAGTAAGAAACTGACAATTTAAATTTGGTGAATTTTTTTGAGAGGCATATATATGTATTGTACTTTTAAATTAAGTGTTAGTAAAAACACAACAGAAGTAAAGAGGAAAAAGGCATTAGATCTCCAAACTACTTGTTCCTATGATCTAACTTTGTGCAATTTTTTTAAAAATAATGCAGTTTACTAAAGTGTAATTCAGTAATCATATGAGAGCTTTGACTTGAATTATTTTAATAAATATTTTTAGGCTGTATTCTAACAACATTTACAAATGTAATTATTTTATATGAGCAAAACCCCCTTGATGACAAGTGTTTAGTCCTTGGTTTTTGATTAATTCCACAGGGCATCTTTAAGGTTTGAGATTATTTTCCTTGTTAGCTATATGATCTTACCAGTTCTTTCTAAAGCATGTTATAGCTTTCTTTTTCAATCCTATTATCCTAGATGGATCTTTTGTGATAAAATCAAGAAATTTGATTTGGAAATGCTCTTGATATGTCTAGTATTAATGGAGTTCTGTGATTAAAAGTCTCCTGTTTTCTTTTTCTGTCACTGAGAGAACACTCTTGTTATCAGGCTGATAAAGAATTAATAGAAATTGATTTGTCACTCATTTTAATAGAAGGTTCAAGTTTATTTGTGATGGTGAATTCTGAAAAAAATTCAAATTTTTCATTGCTGTGCCATACCATTGTTGTTTTACATTTTGTTTTACATTTACTGACTTTGATTTTAAGGCAAAGAAAATAGTTTTCTGGTTAAACTCTGATAGCATTGCCACAGTCTCCCTAAGACTTTGATGATAAGGATTACTGTTTACTTCTGTTGACCAACAGAGATCAATGAATCAGTGTATTTACAATAGTAGGATTGAGTTCCTACTTCCATGAAAAAGAGGTATAGAAGACAAATCTACCTGAAGATCCTTATAATTGGCAAAAAATGCAAAAAAAAACCCTCTTTTCTTTTTCTCTACCTGTAAAACAGCAAGCCAATTTCTATAACCAACCAGTTTTAATTTTCAACTATTTCATAAATATACCTTGTTTTCAAAAACATATAGATGATATGGACTAATACTAAATTTTTTTTTTTAATCTAGATGTCACAGCCCTTTTCTGGTAACTGAATTTCCAAAAGCTGCATTTCAGCTTTGTAAATAGTGGTTGGTCACAAATTTATTCTGACATATGTAGATGAAAAAATACATCAGAGCATCCAGGTTTCAAGCACAGAAACAAACATGCCAGTATTTTCCCCATATGCAACAGATTTAGAGGGAGAAAAGTGGCAAGGGCAGAATTTTTTGTGGTCTGACAAAGAGAATATACCATATTAAAGGAGAAAAACACTGAAAGCTTCATAATGTGTATGATTTTGTAGAGCCAGACGCTTTTATAATCAACTGTTATGGGTGTGCAGATTTAGAAGGATGAAATAGGCATTGAAGCATGCTGAGACTGTATATTGGGAATGAACTAAGTATTCTTAAAATGCTGGGATTTAGTTTCTGGTAGATAAAATGAATCATCAAGAATTTAGTATTCAGAATCTGTTGTTAATGTGCTTTTTTGTTTTTTTTTTTGTACATGCACCAGTAAATCTGGCAAGACTACTTGTAGTTAGGTTACAATCTGAATTTTTCCTAGCAATGAATTTGTTCTCGTATCCAAAGGAAATTCAGAAACTTTTTCTAGAATTACAGTAATTAGGATCATCAGTAAGGTTTATTTCTATAGCTGAAATACAGTAATTGAGTGATGGCTTGTTTGGGATGTTAAGCTAGATGATCTTGTAAGAGTTTAAAATTTCTGTCTTAAAAAGCAAAAGCAGAAAGTTTAGTGATGCTTTTAAAAAATTTCAGACCTGCATTGCTTTGGGATAATCACTTCTGTTTTCCTGTCAGTAGTTTGTTTTCATAGCCAGAATTTAATGAATTAGAAACTTGAATGGCACAACTGAGGGATAATCTTAGCAGGGAAAAAAATTAGAAATTAGCATTACTACATTCAGACTACATTTTCTGAAAATGTTTAATTGGAGGAACTGTGCATCTTAACTGGCATTTAATCAGTTTTGTTATTTGATTTAACTTGCTGGTGCTGAAGACAACCATCCATAGAAAATCCTGGCAGGAAGCAGCAGTGATTGCCATTAAACCTTCTATGACCCTGAAACAGTCATGCTGTTATTTGATGGAAGATACTGCTTTCCCATCTTCTTTTGCAGTTGATAATTTCATAGCTGAATGATAAGGATACAAGTTGATGATACAGTGTGCTTGGAATACAAATCAGTGCAGATATCTTAAGAAACTGTGTTTATTTGCTAGTTTTGAGATGATCAGCTGCACAAGGAACTGCATTCCCTCAAAAACTGCTTTCCTTTCTTTAATAGGCGCCTGAACCTAGTTATTTGGAGAGCACTATCTCAGGAGGAAAGAGACAAGTAAGCTATCACTTTTAGTTTTCTAATGTACCTCTGAAAGTCATAAATATTTGGTGGATTGTTATCACTATTTCTATAACCAACCAGTTTTAATTTTCAACTATTTCATAAATATACCTTGTTTTCAAAAACGTATAGATGATATGGAGTAATACTAAATTCTGGACCTCCTTTTTGTGGTGCTGATTATTTTTAAAAGAAAGGACTTACATTCCATTTGAATTTTGCTTCTGTATCCTTTATCAGTGTCAAATGCAAGGCCTTGAGAGGGCAGTGTGTCATTGCTTTTGACATCAAAGTAAATCTTCTCTCATCCTGTAAAGAGCTCTCTAGTGGCTGGTTTGTTAAGGTGTAATAAGCACCTTAAAAGCATGTGCTGGAGCTGTATATCACTCTGGAAGTTTGTACTATGTTAGCCTATTTTTTTCTATTGATTTAGAAAAGTAATTGCTGTATAAACATCAGTGAAGTTAGCATCTGTTTGTGCCAGAGAATAAGGCAAAGATCAATTAATGAAAACTGAATGTGCCTGAAATAGTTCTTCTCAGAAAAATGGGAATGAAAACTAGAATGCTTTTAAGAAGATATAAGCTAATGAGTAAAAAAACCTAGTTTTATAATTTATAAGGAGAACTAAAACCTCATTCTGGTGCAAAGAGGAAATGAAGACTGTTAAACAAAACAGCATGTAATGAAAAAAAAAAGGAAATAGTTGTCTCTTGATAGACAATGAGTTGCAAAATATAAGAATTTGACAGGGTGTCATCCACAATGTTTAATTATTGATAACATATGGCCAATTATGCATGTAATGAAAAAAATGTCATAGCAATTGCACAGTCTATTGCTAGAGGAGCATATAAATCATTATAGTATTGTGCATAGATATTAAAATGTTTGATTTGTTTTTCAGAAATTATGGCTCAGCCACTTGAATTTCTCTGTAGCTGTGTTTCTATAAGATATAGTTCTACCAGGCATGATTGTTCCACCAAACACAGCAGTATCTGGATGAAATGCAAGAACTTGTAGCATACAGAAGATAAATTGGGCAAATCTGATTCTTTATTCTGCCTTCACAATTTGTGATTCTATCTGTAGAGCTTTTAAACTTTTTTTACAACTTTTCCTACTTGTAATTATTAATTTCTTTTAAAATATATTTTTTTTAAGATTTGAAGAGGACGGGCCAGTCCCATATAGACAGCATAAAGAAACTTTGCTGGAGGCTTTAGAAAATTTGGGATGGCCAGTTTCCTATGAAGATGTCAAATTGTTAGAAGATGAGATATTGACAGCATTAACATATATACAACAAGCCTCTGATCTTCAGGAAGCTGTCAAAAAGGAAATTGAGAAAAGCTCAGTATCATACATAAGCAACAATAAAAAGGTAATACATGGGAAGGGATTTTTCCCCTTAGATATTCCTCTTCACTATGTACCTCTGGAATATTTTTTTCCATTATCATAGGTGATAAAGTAGAATTGTAGCATGATGCTAAATAAAATGGATAGATGAAAGAAGGTTGTTAAGAAGAGAGAAAACTTTCAATTACTTTGTTTAAATATTGGGGAAGTAGAAGTTCTGAAGCTTCAGAGACAGCCAGAAATTGAGCCTCTTAGAAGTAAATCACAGCAAAGGATCTTTATCTCTGCTGTAATGATAGCAGGAAAGAGAAATAACAGATATATTAAAGGCAGTCTAGATACAAGATTTGTTGTTGGGCTAATATCTGATAAACAGGAATAAAAGGTATTCTAATATTGGAGTAATTCACTGTGATCTTCCATGGTACATTTCTTGTAAAAAAAATATAGAGAGAAGAGGTGGGATTCAGCTTCATTTTTGTACACTACAATTTAACTGTCTCTAAAATGTGGGTATATGTGAACTGGTGGGTAATATCACAGCATTGTGAACTGAGTCAGTGGCATCTGGAGCTCATTCTGAAGTGGACACCCATTTTTGGCTAGGCAGAGAGGCTTATTTTCTCTCTCCATTTCATTAATACATTAGTCTAGCATTAATACATTAGTCTAGCTACTCTGAAACTGCAGTTGAAATTAGTGGTTATATATATATATGTGTGTGTGTGTGTGTGTGTTTTCTGTAGTTTTTGAGTTTTTAAAGACTGCACATTTGAAAGCATTTTAATGTATTCTTAAAACAGATGATGTTGATTCATTTCACATTAGTTTGAAAATATGACATTGCTATTAGAGCTATTTTGATTATTGATTTACCTATGCTGTATAATGTCCCAATACAAGAGCAGCAGAAACATGTTTATGTTTCATTTGTTGAGTGTAATTTTACTGTTGCTTGGAACAACCAGTGTGTCCTCTCAGACATGATGTGATTAACATTGTGCAATCACTTATCCTGAGTCAACCTGCTTTAGGAGTCTAATCAGAGCAGCATCTTCAGTAATTGCTAATCTGCAACTGAAAGGCTTCAGGAGTGAGAGGCAGAAATGCAGATGTAATTAGAATTCTGTTTATGTAGCAGAAAAACAATGGGGAAAAAAAGAAGAAAAATGGGAAGGCTTTAAAAATTTTTGTTGAAGGTTTTGGCAACTGTGATGTCTGCCCACAAAATGGGTCTAGAGAAATAAACTGCCAACTGAAATACGTTACAGCTAGGAAATAGCTGATATGGCACTGAATGAAAACTATCATTGTGACATCATTGAAAAAAATCACAATTATCCTGAAACTACTCAACAAAGCAGACTTTTAAATTTCCTGATGATTTTTTTACTAAATTTTAAATAACACGTTTTCAGCTCTTTCTTTTTTGGCCCTTTCATAAAAATGGGCTAGGTCTATTCAGAATGGGCTTGTTCCCACTGGCACCCAGGGAAGAGTGGTGGTTGCTTGACTCTGGAGGTGTCAGGATTATGAGAACCCAAAGTTTGAGCCAAGATACATGGAGATCTGAGGGTAATTCTTCATGTCTATTCTCACTTATAGTAGGACAGTGCAAAGACTATTCTTTTTGAAAGGGAATTTAAAAATGTAGCAGCTAATGGAAGAAGTAAACAAAGTCTCCTTCACCCATTAATGCATTGCCTTCAACAGAAGCAGAGCGAAACATGGTAAAAATCTCTGAGAATCAGATAGGGCTCTTTTGTAATAAAAATACTGAATGCCAGAAATGGCCACTCCAACAGTGTCTGCTAAACACTGAAAAGCTGTGTGAGAGAAAAGAAAGATGGATTTGAATTTAGACAGTGTTTCTGAGCCATCTGAATTCTGCACAACTCGGAATCCTCATTGTGGATGCTTGTGTCGTCTTTAGTATTTGGATTAACGTGGAGTCCTGAAAGTTGCCCAAGTTATTAGTCAAGCAATACAAATTAGTTGATAATAAATATTCAGCAGCAGCTGTCCTTTTGGAGTCTGAGGAATTAAGTAAATGCTTTACCCAAATACTATTTTGTGTCTGTGGAACTGTAGGTCTGCTCTCATATCAGCCTTTGTTGAGTTATAGTTCAAACAGTCAGTTAAGCACTGTGAAGAGCCTCTGGTTTAGTCTGAGTTTAAAAACCCAGACTGTTCATATAATTAATATTCTGTAGGGGTAAAGAAAAAGCTAGAAAAATCCCGTGTATTTCTAATTTAAAATATCTCCTTGCCTCTTTTGTGTGTTTTGCTTATTTTTAGGACTTTTTTCCTAGGGTTGTTTGTGATTTTTGAGAGGGAGTTTGAAAAAAAGATACTTTATTAATTAGAGTGAAACTGAGAACAAACAAATCAGTCAAAGTTATTAATATATTTTCCATCACTATTGAATATTAGGGAAAATCAAGTATCAAATCAAATACACTTTTTTAGAAAAAAAATTTCATCAGAAAAAGAAGCAAGTCATACACATCCTAGCAAGCAGGAGTTTTATTAAGAGTCTGTGAGTTATGGTCATTTTCAAAACAATGTGTAGATCTGTGGAAAAGCTCAAGATTTCAAGTTGCACATTTTTATGATTCAGAAAAACCACGTAAGAGATGGATGCCTGCAAATTGTCCACAAGGTAGACCAATAAATATTTTAAAAACTAATGGTGAAACTAATTAATTTAATGGTGAAAATAAATGCCACGATTTTCATTTAGTGGTGAAACTGCTTTATTATAAGCAAGTTTTGCACTTGCTTGTAATTTATATTTAGGAATATTATTGTGAGCAGAATGGCAAAAATGATTAGTGCATGAAGAACCCCAACTAGTTGGGCAGAATAATGGACAGTAGCAGGTCTGGAAGATCTGGTAAAATATTTTGCTAAACTGGAATGTTTTAACATGGTTGAGAATGTCAATTGAGTTTTGAATTTATAGTAAATAAATGTTTTTCCCCAGACATTTGAAGATTTGTTTGAACATTTTTTGATTTCATATTTTATTTTTTAATGATTCATCCCATACAGTGAGGTACTTCTAATGCAAATCAGATTACTGTGAAAACTCTCCTGTCTCTCCTGTCTGGACAAAAGAAATATGTAGAGCAAATTTTCTTATTCTGAAAAAAGAGCTGATTTTTCCTTACCTCATCCTTTAATATGAATTGTGCATCTTTGTGACATTTTTTGTAGAAAAATGGTAGCCAGAACACATGAAAATATAGGTATTGTTATGACCATACAGAACAGGATTTTATAGTGAAAACACTTATATAAGTACTTCCTGTACTTAGAACTATTCTTAAAGTTTAAAGCATTTCCAGTTTGCTGTGAATTCTGTACAGATTTTGTAGCATTACACCGCCTCAGTTTTTAAATAATTTCTAATAATTGATTAAGGCTGATTGCATTAGCTGTTGTAGAGAAATAATTGTCTCAAATTACAGACATTTAAAGAAGAAAATGGGAAGCTGAAGTCTAAGACAAGACAAAAACATCAAATATTTGTAACTCACAAAAGCCAAAAGGTAATTGCAAGATCAGACATCACAGGATTTTATTATCCAGGTATACATTTTTGTCCACATTTTCAATATTATTTAATGTTCCTTTACACTGATAAAGCATAAGTTATAGTCATAATTGACTTATTTTTTCTTAATGACATTTACTATTACGTGTGCATATTAATGAAAAGGAATATCTATTTTGTATATGTATGTGCACATATATATACATTTATAAGAAGACATTCATTTTGTAAAGTTGGAGAGTAATGATATGTTTGTCTATGAAAAGTATGGAAGGAAATCATGAGCCAAGATTTTGCATGTGTGCATAAAGATCACTAAATGGTGCTGCTTTTTTGTTGAATTTTAAGCCAGCATGGTTAGTAGGTAAAACTCAGTTCTGTTATTTCACACAGATAATATTAAATATTCTCTGTGTGTATGCATTTATCTTTGTGTTATCTTTACGTGTTTGGTTGGGATTTTTTAATTACATATTCTTAACTGTGGTAGTAGTTTTATTATGTTAATGATCAGTTTTATTATGTTAACCAGATCAGCTTACAAATTTCAGACCTGTGCTTGAAAAAAACATTGTTTTCTTTTTATAGCACTATTAAGACTGGTAAATAAGACAGGGTTTTTTAGGTACAAATGTCTCCATTGCCCTAGCACAGCTTATAGTAGCTAAATGAAAATGAAGAATGCATAGTATAGACATGGGTGGCCTCAGTGATGTGTGACAGCCTGTAGGATTTTTTACAAAATAATTTCCACAAGGGGTGAAAGAAAAATAATTTAAATATTTTATTCTGTTGTTTTTCAGGAACTGTGATAAAGAATATCAGTTCTACCTGTGCACTTGTTGACTTCAGCAATGGGGAGAGCTGTGATGTCCTTGTCAAGTTCACTATACCTGTGGGAGGTGCTATGCCATGCCCACATCTGCAGGTGAAAAACTGTATTTTTTCATGATTGCAAATATGCATTTTATATTTAAAATATGAAATTCATTTTATATTTAGGTAATAAATTATAGATTTTTTAAAAAGTCTTTTAAATACCTTTATTTTAAAGAAGAGTTTTTCATTATAGTAGTATCATACTATTTTCAACATGAAGTTTTTCATTTGTTTGAAGCTTGTTTTCATTGTAATTCTATTCCTTTGTTTATTAAAATTATGTGTTCTAAATTAATCTATATTGTTTTCTTTATAAAACATGAATATTTCCCCAGCCATAGAAGAAAGGTGAACTATTTATTAGTACAGTTATTATTTCATAGCACATAGATTATAAATTGAGAGCCTTTTTTACTTAGTGTGAGCAGTTCACTTACAGCAGGTTTTAACCATTCAGTTTTCACAGCATGTTTTAAATCCAGAAAACAACCATATACTAAGGTAAATAACAGTAATAAAAAATTATAATCCCTGTTCATTTCTGATTTTCTTTAAAATTTATCAGCTAACTATGTGTAATCACAGATGAGTTTTTTTGGTGATTCTTATTTTACACACCAGAATGGTGATGGTTGCATAGAGGATACAGGATGGATCCATCTGTTTTGAATAAAAGAAACATGTTTATAATTGCACTGCTACATATAAAACTAGAGACATACCCTGTTTTTCAGTTTGAGATAAAGACAAATCCTGATATAGTAGCTCCTGATAACTCTGTAAGTTCTGTATCCAACTCTAGAGACCTGCAGAATTTGATATAAAACTGTGACTTCTGTGTTAATTTTAAAAACAATTTTGGATAAATCAGTTACATCTGGAATTTTCTAAAATTCCCAAGGTTAGTTTGTGGAAAGACTTAAAATTTGCCTAGAATCCAAGGGAATGTACAGTTTGTAAGAGTTTCCTCATTCAGTTCAGCTTGCTAGCTAAGCCCAGGTACATTTAGCAGAGCTCAGTCCTTTATTTTTGTTTTGTGTTCTCTCCCTGATTCAGTGGAAATTGCATAATCAGAACATGCAAGGACCAAGTTCTTCTTTTCTTTCAGTGGTCCATATTAAATCATGGGAACATGATAGAATGAAGATTCATGTAAAAATACCTTAGTAGTTATGTCTTGTAGAGCTCAGAAGTGGTTCTTGCAGTGGTTCTTGCACTGATGCTTTCCTGTGCACAGGTTGGGGACTATGTGTTTGCCAGAACCGGGACACGGGCAGAAAATGAATGTTATGTACCCGCCATTGTCATAGCAACACCACAGAGGGTGGAGACAGGTGACAAATTCTACACAGTGCTGCTGTTCAACAACAGAGAGGTAAGTAAACCTAGGGGATGATACCAGGCTGGCTGGTTTTGGAGAGGCAGATAGAATTTTCCAGGCTAATGGGGTCTCTGTCCCAATCCAAGTCTCCAGCTGACCAGAGTAAATCAGAATTCAGAGTGCAATGAACAGCTCATGTAATAAACCTGAACGAAGAAATTCTGTTGGATAATTTATTCTTAAATTATACTCTGTTCTTTCTTCTTTAATACATTTGGTGGCTTTCACAAGTTCCATGCTTCTAAAATAAGAAACATAGGGAGTTTTAACACAGTCATTATAGTCTGACATTATTTCCATTATGTTTGTTTGTTTTTTGTTTGTAAGCCATTATGATAATTTTACTGCATTTTTCACAGCATGCATTAAATAAAATTTACTTTGTACTTGAAACTTTTATATTAATTATCTTTATTAGAGGCTGATTACAGTTACACTTAAACAGTTGATTTTTTTATGCATATGTATCTTCATTGCTTTTGAGATTTGAGTTTTAATTAGATGAATATTGTTTGTGTTATTGCAGGAACACTGTATAAGAAGTGAGCTCATTAAAATCAGCCAAACCAAGTATGCTTATTCCTGTCAGTACATAAGAACGGTGCAGACGGTGGATTATGAGATGTGAGTATGTTTGAACCTAAAAATACCAAATTTTTAAAATTTGAATTCTAAATGTTGCACTTTGAGTTCAGCTATGCTATCAGGTTTCCATACGTAGTACTTTAACTACAGCTATTGCGAACTGGCTTAATCTACACTTGCAACTAAGTTCATGTGAGAATTTACTGCCTTATTTTCATTCCAGAAATATTGGTGGGATCTGATGGTTTGAAGCTTAGTCCCAGAAAGTTGTTAAGGGGATTGCTGAAACGTGAGATGGAGTTTCTATTTGTTGTAGACCTTATTTTACTTTTAAAATACTTATTGTAAAGTAAAGCTGCACATAAAATTGCAATTTTTTTCTAAGACACTTGTTCATCTTCTGAACTTAAATCTGGAGATGGAGAGAGAGTGTGTAAGATGAGTATGAGCCCCTACTTAGGTTCTGCAGAATTAATGGGCAGCAAGATATGAAGTGTGCACTGAAAATGCAAGTGTTCCAAGTGTTTATGGTTACTTTTTAATCTTATATTAAGTTCTAGTTTAATCCAGTTGAAATTATGACAGCCTTCAGAGCACTAACAACCTCAGACAACGTTAGGATGGACAATAAGATCAGAACAATCATCTAGGGATATTTCTCCAGAATACAATCCCAACCTACAATTATTGGAATTTAAAAATTCTCTGAAGCAGAATTGGAGTCTCTGTATTAAATAGCCTTGATGGAATTTTCTTCCATGAATTTGTGCAGTTTCTTTTTTTGAAAGCATGTAAAACTTCATCATCCATAGCTTCTTCCCAGGGGGAGTTGCATAGTTTCACATTTTGTGTGAGAAAACATTATTTGGTTTTGAGTCTTCCATTTGCCTTGACATCTACAGAATGAAGGATTTCCTCTTACATGTAGTATGAGCATTGCTGCAAAAGAATAATATAATCTCCATCACGGGAAGTTTATTTCCAAGAGGAAACATGAACAAGGAAAATCACAGAATCTCAGAATTAGCTTGGTTAGAAAAGACCTTTGAGATTGAATCCAACCTATCACCCAACACCACTTTGTACCTAGAGCATGGCTCTGAGTGCCACATCCAGTCTTTTCTTAAACACCTCCAGGGACGGTGACTCCACGCTCTCCTTGAGCAGCCATTCCAATGCCCAATCACTCTTTCTGTGAAGAACTTCTTCCTAATGTGCTGCCTAAACCTTCTCCTGGTGCAGCTTGAGTCTGTGTGCTCTTGCCCTGTCACTGGTGACCTGGGAGAAGAGACCAACCCCCACCCAGCTGCACCTTCCTTTCTGGTAGTTGTGGAGAGAAATAAATTCCACCATTAAAGGCAATTTTAGATCACAGAATCATGGGATGGGTCAGATTGGAAGGGGCCAGAGTGGGTCATCTGGTCCAACCTCCCTGCTCAAGCAGAGTCATCCCAGAGCACATGGTGCAGGATTGCATCCAAATAGTTGAATACCTCCAGTGAAGAGACTGTACACTCTCTCTGGGAAATCTGCTCCAGGGCTTGTTCACCCACAGGTGTTCTTAATTTTCATTGAAATGTTCTAATATGATTATCATCACTAAAGATTTAATCTAAAAATTATGGGTGAGGGTACCAGTTGTGGGCTTGATGTATGGATTCACTGAGAATGACAGAGTGAAAAGCATCTGAGATTCAAATCCTTTGATTCCCACGTATTTTCTAATAGTGATCCTAGTAGAGTTTGAAACTCAGCCCTCCACCAGCTTGCAGCTACAGCACACAAACAAATGAATGCCCTCTCTTTGCTGAGCAAAATTCCAAATCTGGGAATACATCAATGCCTTCCCAGGCCATATAATTGATATGATAGTAGCCTCTTCTCACCAAGAAGCAAACCTGAAGACCATGGTTTCCTTCTCAATGCAAACAACCAGTTGAAAAGAGGGAGGTATATAACTGGTCTGAGTTCCAGCAAAAGCAGCAGAAGTCCTTCCCTTCTACTGAGATGGATTGTATTCTGAGGTACCATATTAAGAAAAGATGTGATTAAATGCATGAGCAATAAGAATAATGTCCATTCTACATGCTTTGTTTCATGAATGAGTGCTTTGGTACAACCATTCACTCTCCAAAGAGAACTTATTATCACGCTGACTTGCCATTTTTATGTACAAATGAGGAGAAAATTGAATTTTACATTGGCAAATTGGAGGAATTCATTGGAGAATTGACTGAAATGAATGCACTAAATGGAGTTTTTATTAGAACCCCTATGAGGGTTCTAATGAGGACATGGAAGTGTGCTTTCCAATGAAACTTGTTTATTATATTTCTAAAATAAATCCCTACCTCCTATGTCCTACTTAAAGGGGGGACACTGCAGCATATTGCCCATGGATATGCACAGATCTAATGAGAAAGTGCTGACATTGTTGATAGGAAAAATGCAAAAGCATAATTTAATTGGAAAGGAATCAAAAAGTTTGAATGCAGTATTACATTAGAACCTCAAAAGAGACAAACTGCTTGTGCTAAGTGCTGGAGTAGTAAGGGAAAAAAAATTAAAAGGCACATATTCCATGCTGACAGGAAGTCCTCAGTGCCTATAGATGTTATACAGTGGCTTGGGTAACTCCAGCTCTGAGTTCTTTGGGACTGTCTTTTAATGTTTTTGTGGTGTGTATTAGGGATTATTCTTAATTGACTAATCTTTAGAGGTACTAATATAGCTCTTATGATTTCAGTATGAGACATTAGCATCTGTTTGGGGCATTTTCCTGCCATCACTGTGGAAAGAAATAATTATGGCAGAAAAAGCACTCTGCAAATGTAGCTAACAAGTTCCATATGCAAAGTACAATACTGTGTGATATGGACCCACACAGCAAAAGGGTCCTTTTTGCCCACATCCTTTCTGGAGTCATAAGAGGCAGATAAGATTAAGGGCCAGAGCCCTGTTTTAGGCTATCCTTTACTTATTCTATAAGTAAAAGGGAAACTGAATTGTAGGACATTTACAACCCTGTAAAATGGTCAAGAGTGTGATAAGTCCTTCTCTTGTCAGTACTGTGAGATGTGGAAAAAGGTGAAATCTATGTCTTGTAAAAGAGGCTTTATGAGATATGTCCTTTTAGCTTAGTGGATTTCCTTTTCTGGTTTTCCAGCCTCGATACTAAGACTAAAAACTCCTGCCCTCACTCAGCTGTGGAAGATGAAGGAGGAGAACAAGCAAGAAAAACTATAGTGAAAGAAAAGAGGGGAAAAAAGAAAAAGAAGAGGACAACAGTAGACAAAAGGCATCCCAGGGAGATGATGTCAAACTTGGATAATCTTTTGTCTCCAGAAGTAAAACAGAGAGAAAGAAATTCACTGTCTAGCAATAAGGAAGAATGTAGAGGTAAAGATGTAGCTCTGAAAAAGTGTAAGGAATTAAACATTTGTGAGGGCCTTTAGCTATTCCCAACACAAGGAACAGATTTCTGCATTTCTGGGTGTTAGCCAAGTTAGCTTTCCTGTGTCCTATATGATGAAATTCTTTTACCTCCTTTAGAAACTGTTCTTGACACTTTCTCAGTGTGTGTTTTCACAGCAGCAGCAAGAAATGAATAAAGCCCGTTCCAGCATATCCCACCTTAATTTCCCTAACAGTTGTAGTAGCAGTGAGGATGCAGTAACACCAAACCTTAATACCTGCTTTTAAGCAGAGTATTTATTCCAGTCTCTCTACTGTTTGTTCTTTGTTAGACTAAAGTTATGTCTATATTGTGGGTATTAAATGATTGCACCTGTAGCTCAATGCTTCAGAGGTTAAATTGATTTTGGTGTAAGAGCTGGCTCAGTTAAAGCTGACAGCAGTACCTATACTCCCTGTCACTCTGGAGCAGAGACTGGGCTAATGTAGGCCTGCCATTACATGTCTGTCAGCTCTTCATTTTCAAGATCCTACTGTCAGTGGAAAGATAACGGGATTTTTATCCATACTTGCTGGGTGTATCTCCTTGTACCATTTTAAATATGTTTTCAATGGCCTCATTATTTATTTACTTTCAGAAGTGATGGGTTATAAATTCAGTCAATCATCATGTTTTCAATCAACTCGATTTGGCTCATCTGAATGTTCCTTCTGTGTTCTCTCTCATCCTTTAAAGATTGCCTGCAAATTCCATATTACATTGCTTATAGTGGGTATTATGGTGCCCATTATATAATGCACATTTTAAGAGTGGCCTGATCAGAATTATATGAGAGCAGAGGTGTTGGGCTTGTCCAGTGAAAAATCATGGTTTCCAAAGGTGGGGCTACATCGTTGGAAATGCTCAGTTATCCCAGACACCTTCCTCTTGGACATTTTGAGATGCAGATGCTGAGGAAATGTGAAATAATCCTAATGTGATCAGCAAGTCCTGTAACTGATTCCCTGCAGCTTGCAGGAAAGATTACACCAGAGCAGTGGTTATCTATGCATTTTAATCCTGCCTAGATTTAGCAAAAAATCTCATAGTATTCTAACAAGGCTTCAATGTCATATGCAGGTTGAACATGCTGAAGAAGGTACCTTGTCCTCTTCTTGTGACACCATAAATATTGAATATGGGAGTTTTTTTCTAAAATTTATTTTCATTCACATATCCTTCTGTGTTTTGTCAGAAAGGGAAAAGTCAGAGCTGATAAAGATATTAAGTAACAGTATATGGTCATCCTCACATGGTTTCATTACATACCTCTTTATCCAATCTCTCTACATGACTGTATATTTATCCTCTTTGGGTGTAGATAGTTGCCCCATTTTCATACCATGCAAATGTTTCAGAGCACTCTGTGTAAGTTATATAATTTTGTAAGTTATATCAAATGTGCTGCCTGACCCCTGATATACACATCTTTTTGAACTGTGTTAATGCTGGATTTCATTTTAAAGATGAAGAGAATGAAGAAAACAAATTTGCCTGGCTTTTTTTTTCCCATCTGCTCAACTTCCAATCAAGTATGAACTATTAGTTTACACTTACTGCTTGGCAGTTCAATATGTGTTGAGCACCAGTGAGATTCCCCTATGCAGGTTAGCACTTTTCCTTAGAAGTTGTCATATTTGATTACATTGATGTGAGTAGGTGTTAAATAACACAGATGAGGAGTTGGAAAGCCCTGCCATTCTAATTAATTATTTAGTTAGTCTCTGTGGACCAGGTATTAAAAATATCAGGTATCTGACAATGGACTTTGCCTTCATGGAGTTTTTGTAGTGCTGAAAGAAGGCTGGATATTCAAGTCAGGAGCCTAAACTGCACAAGTGAGATAAAACACCCTGTTTTCCTCTTCAGACCTCTGTATCACTCTGAAGTCTCAAATATTGCCTTTCATATGCTGGACACACCAATGTTCATCAGAGTGATCCCTTTCCAGCTTGTCCTAGTAGTTGACTTAATTACTTCATTATTTCTGGACTGTTTATATCAAAGGCAGATTTTTTTCCAAGTCAGCATCTCAGAGAAATGTTTTGAATAGCTGCGATAATGACAATTTTTATAGTGAAATATCTTTTACAGTAACAAGGTTATGGTTTGGTTTTTTTTTTCCTTCAATTTCTAAAAGCAGTCTGTTAACCTGTTTTTTTTTTCTGAAAGATGTATATTCCTCCCATGTATTCTTTTCCTTGTAATATCAAACACCTAAATAATTTGGATATCTTTTAACTTCTGAAAAAGCTCAATAGTCCTGATCTGTTTGACTGAAGTAAAGGCATTTTCTTCATATTTGTATAAATGTTTTCTCCATGTATGTATGTGTCTAAGGCATTAAAAGCATTTATGCCATCACTGTTTCTTGCATTTCCTTTAAAAATGTTTATCTTGTCACTTTTTTTTGTCCAGATACATACACATACACACACACACATGTATATATATATATATTTAGTAATCTGACTGGGCTATGTTTTGTAATTATTTGATGTGTTAATCAACACTCTGCCTATGTTTCTGTTGCCTTCATGTGATCATTCATCTGTTACATAAGGAAGTAAGTTCTCCTGAGCTTGAATGAGCATTGCCAGATTACCAAGATGGATTTTTGTGCTCCCCAAGTTAATGTGGATTCAGCTACATGGCTCTTATATAGGTGGCTGATGAAACCTTGTATTCCCATATATTTCCACCACAGACCTGTAGGCCCTGTATGAATTAAGGGACTTTGGACATAAAGCAAATTTGTGTTTTGGTTTATGCTCAGCTAAAATATTTCTGATTGTTAAGAGGAATCAACAGCCCATTCCTGATGGTCCTACTTGCAGAAACAGCACAAACAGAAGTGAATAAAGATTAAGTAATTGTGTTAGTTATTTAGCATATATTAGCTTCATTATTGTGTTGAAGTGAATTCTGCCTTGTTTCTTCCAGAACCACTATATTTGAAACATTATTATTTTGATGTGCAGGCTTGCCACTCTTACTGTGTTAGTTAGCTCTGTGTGTTTATAAGAGAGCAAATGAAAGCCTGGCAAATTCCTGCTGACTGTTGGCTAATGATTCTTTGCCTTGGTAACTCAAATAATACTATTTGATGTAGCAAGATCATTGATACTTAATTCTGTCCTTGGTTATTGCAATAATTTTTTATAGGTGCAATAAAATCTCTTTCTGTAGAAAAATTCTTCTGTCTTTCTAGTTTTCTCTGTTCTGTAATGCCTAAAATCAATGTTCATTCCACGTAATTTCCTTGTCAATTTTCTAGAATGTATATCTAGTAAAAAAAACAAAAACAGAAAAAAAATTGGCATGAAGTACAGGTGTGATACACAGTACTACACTGCACTCTCTGATGCATTAGCAAATAATAGCTATCAGAGCCAAAATCTCCTTTTTTATTTATAATGAGATGTGACTTGAAGCAATTATGCTAATAATTACTGTAACTGCCAATATGGGGCAGTTGGGAGACCTTTGCAAATGAACATCTTCTATCCTTTTCTGTGGCGAACGTAGTTTGTCTGAATTGGGTTCAAGAGTGGAGCAGCTGTGGCACCTGGCATTCTAGTGGATTGGCTGGATTTCCTGCAGTAGGATTTCCCATTTTTAGCACCCACTCGTTTTCCAGTCTAATTTTCCATCTAGTCCATTCAGCATTTGGAGAAGGCCATCACAATAAAGCAGTGTTCCCATCTGTTGGTCATGGCTTGTTTAACGAGCAGTTGATGTCAATTCAGCAATGCCTGCATCTGTTCCTTGCTGCAGCTGTGCATGGCTAAGGGCTCCCCAACAGCAGCCAGATTTAGCTTTTGTCTCTTCATACCATGTTACAGCTCAGCCAGAAACATTCTGTCTTGTCTCAGGGCTGTCTGCTCATGGAAAGAGGAAAGTGTGCTAAACTCTCTGTCTCTTTCCCCATAAAGAATGAAACAGGCAAGGGGGGAAAGTGCAGTTCCATTGGTTTAGGAGGCGTGTTGGGGGGTATCTGAGGGCAGATTTGGAGGGCAGTTCAGGCCAGATCCTAAGAGCAAGAGTGGAACAGGTTCTTTCAGCATCTTAGAAAGAAACAGAGAGAGCCTGTGGACTGGTTGAAGACAACAAACAGATTGTGAACTGTGTCTGATGGGGAATACTCATTTAATAGTGCAGCTTTCACTTTACTCAGAGAAGCAGTATGGCCACAGTACCTTTCAGTATTTCAGTTTGACAATGCTTTTGTACTGCAGGCAGACAGGACACAGTCAAGAAATTTCCTGACCCTTACACATGCGAACTCTAGATTTCTGTCTCTTGGGTGCTGAAGAAGGATCAGAATGTTTCTTTTGTGTATGTAAGTGCTGATGGTGCACATTTATTAGGCAATTTTCAAAGACACACTTTTGATTTTTAAACTGCAACTTCAGAGTTTCAGTGGTAGCTATGGATAGCTATGGATGACAATAACTCCTAAAACGAATCATACTCAAATCTCATACTCTGTAAGGATTCAGTCTGGGCTGTTGCTCCCCAACCTGTACATCTTATACTTATCCTTCTTTATTCTGATTCCTTCCACAGTTTTTTTTCCTACTACACAAGTGTTTTTTATATGATCATTGAAAACCAAAGTGTGAAGCAAAATAGGGTATATGCTTTTGTTTACTTTGTTTCTTCCTATTTTATTCTCTTTTGTTTTTCCTCCAGCTTCTGGTCTTTTGTCATTCATTATGATTCTCATCATTTTGTGCCAGGAGGGTACCTAGTAGTTGGTGGTCTCATTTGATATGACTAAAAAGTGACCTTTCAGTGACCCTTCAAAGAATGGTCAGACAAAGGTTCATGTAACCTATTCCCTATCCCCAGCAGTTCCTGGAAGATGATCCCTGAGTAAGAGTGAGATCAAAGATTGGCCTGTGAACACAACAGCTACAAGCTACAGCCTTAGAAAATGAGAATACTTAAAAATACCTGAAAAACAGACTGGTTTGAACTTGTGAGGAAGAAAGCAAAAAATCTTTATGCAGAAGTACTGCTTTGTTAACACAGTCATTGAGTTATTTGTTTCATGATAAATTCCAGGGAGTGTTTGAACTGTGACATCCAAGCTCATGGTGGGTCAGTGTTTTCTCTCATTAAAGAGTCCTGGTTCTCTCCTAGCATCTTCCCTCTCCATTTCATCATCCTGGTGTTCATCGAGGTGTTAAACTCTGCAGTTGTTGAGAGCTTCACTTTCCATCCCACTGAAGTCTCCCTGATGCTTGCACAGTCCAGCTGTAGGAAATTCTCCAGAGCCAGGTAAAAGCTGCATCCCCAGGGCTGTTGGAGTCAGCATGGAGCAGTGAGGATAGGCAGGACATTCTCCAGAGCCAGGTAAAAGCTGCATCCCCAGGGTTGTTGGAGTCAGCATGGAGCAGTGAGGATTGGCAGGACATTCTCCAGAGCCAGGTAAAAGCTGCATCCCCAGGGCTGTTGGAGTCAGCATGGAGCAGTGAGGATAGGCAGGACATTCTCCAGAGCCAGGTAAAAGCTGCATCCCCAGGGCTGTTGGAGTCAGCATGGAGCAGTGAGGATTGGCAGGAAAGCCTCGGCACATGCACAGAGCAAAGGAAGCCACAGGAAGGGTGCAGGAGGAAAGAGCGTGGGAGGAATAGATGAAGCTGCAGATAAGAAAGGTTTTAACACCTGTAATGGTGAAATTTTAGTTCTCTAAGAAAAAATAGATTTATGAATGAATATTAAATTATTTATGAGTTTGCTGACTTACTTTGGAGGTTGAAGGAGAAGCAGCAGCAGAGGGTCAGCTGTGCTGTTGAAGAGTTTCAATATCAGAAGAGAAGTGAATGGACATTAAAAAAATTCTCAAGCTTGACTCTGCAATTTCCAGGTAGACGTATTTGTCTTTACATCTGAAGTAAAGTGGTGTTGAAAAGATACATTTAACCAAATAGAAAGAGGTGGAAAATTTAAGTATACACATGTACACATTGTAACCCGGTGGTACATTTATATTGGGTGAATTCCAGTTTTTGTGGTAGCCAATTTGATCACAGATCTTTTTTGTGTTCCAGATGCATGATGAATTTATAACTGGGTCTGACTATTTGGATATTGCTCTGCTTTGATGTAGCAATAATATCTCAGGTCTTCTATTCTCCTTTATTACCTCCTCTACATTTTGATTCTTCTATTTTAAATGCCTTTATCAGATGAAGAATATTCTTATATTAATATTACATTCTGAGCAAATTAGCAAATATTAAATATTGCTGCATGATTAAACAAGGAGTAATAGAGACAAAAGTGAGAATAGCCTTGTGCAATCATTTAATAGACAGTATATTAAAAAAATATTTCTATAGTCAATGGAGGCAGAGTCTTTGAGGATATATTTACATATCTCTTGAGTGCTTCCTTTAGGCATCTTTCAATTGCCTCCTCTAGGTAGATAGTTCAGGTGTACTTGGCCAGGAAAATACTACATGGTGGCTGTGCAGATATTTCCCAGGAGAACTGTATTCTATTTCAGAATATTTCACCAGAGAAATATTCTGAAAATATTTCACTCAGAACTATTTCACTGGAGATCAGTTTTGGAAAAATCATGAGGGCTGGATATCTGTTTTTGTCTCAATGTGGAGGAAAAAAAAAAAAAGAGACATTTTTATTTAGTAAAGGAGAAATATATAGTTTGTGCAGCCAAAATAACTATGAAGCCAGGATATTTTGGTGGGGATGTGAGAGAGACTGTGGAAATTTTTCCCTGGCCTGATTTAGGGAAGACTCAAATCCAGAAGAAACTGAAATGGTCTGTCCTGGAGGTTGCAGTTTGCATAGCTCATATTACCTTCTGTTCTTTCCTTCATCATATCCTAGTTTTCTCTTGGAGAGTGGAGCTGCCACACACATGGAGCCCCTGGTTACAGGCAGTCACTGAGGGTCTTTTCTGTACAGGGAAGAGATATCACTAAAGCATAGCATTCATGAAATTTTAGGACAGGGGATCTGGAAAGAAATACTTTACTGCAGATATGAACATTTCATTTGTGAAGGAAATGGCACCACCAATGGATGGAAAAGCCCCATACCTAATGGTAGAGAAGATATCTAAATGAAAAGTTTAGATATCTGTTTTATCCCCAAGAATGTCTTTCAGTCACACAGACTTTGGAATCTGCCTGCTCACATTTTTTGAGGAAGATGTGTCTCAATCAAATTAATCATTGACATGATCATCTCACCTATGTTTCTTGTGATTACTGTGTGTTTGAGGCTGAGCAGGTGCAATTCCAATGACACGAAGAAAATGGAGTGGGGGCCAATTTTGCATGTAGTTACTGTTAAGTATGTTGTGGTGGTTTGACGGGAAATGTGTTTTTTGGGATGCTGTGTTTTTGGCCAATGGATATTCAGGCTTTAATATTGGCATTTAACCTGGCCATTGGGACATGGACACGCCTCTGAGAACACGGGGTTAAAAGCAGAGCTCTCCCCTGGGAGGGTCCTCTTGGGTTCTGGTGAGGAGAGAGTTCGGGTCTCTCCCCCGGCCCAGCTGCTGGCTGGGCAGGGGGAGGGGAAAGCCATGTGGCCGAGAGAGGTAGGCCTGAGCCCGGGGGTGGAAGGGTGGAACAGAGAGAAAGAGAGAGAGACACCGGGAGGCATCGGGCAGCCCCCCCTGAGAGACAGAGAGAGAGAGAGAAAGAGCCGCTGCCTGGGACTGTAACCTTGAAGCTTGATAAACATGGGCCTGTGCCGGCAGCACGGTTTGGACAGAGAAGAGGGGGGGGTTCAGCCGGCCGCTTGTAGGAGCTTTTAACCCCTTTTTGGAGAATGAGAACTTTACAGAACATTGACCTTTCCTAGAAGATAGAGTGGAAGATGAGGAAGGAATGTGCAAGTGTGAGAGAGGTCTGGATGAGTGAGAAATAGTGGAAGAATAGAGAAGAATCCTAGTGGGAAGAGATGATGGAGTGGCTTTTGCTGGACTCTTTTTGTATAGCCATGGACAGAACCATGTTCCTTGTGACACAGAGACTGCATTCTAGGGGGAGGCAATGGCCTCAGAACCAAGAGGGTTCAGTGTTGGTGCCCCTCGGCCCCAGGGGGTGAAAAAATATGGGGGGGACAGGTGTCTCAAAGGAGAGACTGTGCCTTTTTTGGATCGGGACAGAGCATCCTTAAAAAAAGACAACCCTAGAAGCAGCTCTGGTCCATGTTCAGTGGTGAGAGCACTGGACATGAAAGGAAGAGGTCACGACGGCAGATGTACTCCGGGCGGTGCCACGAGTGACACGGAAACACACGAGGCTTCAGCTGTGTTTCCAGGGGAAGCCCATGGCACAAGAAGGACTCCTCTCCTCTTGATGAACTAAGGATTGATTGTTTGAAGGGTGGTGCTGGACTAAGAGTTGGTGATTTGAAGAATAGATGCATTGTATTGGAAATTTGGTGGGGGGAGGAGGAAATGTATTTGTAAGGTTTTCATTTTCCCTGTGTGTGTTCCTTTTATCTATAGTTGTAGTGTAGTTAATAAAGTTCTGGTTTTTTTCCTTTCCTAAGTAAGAGCCTGCTTTGCTTATTCCTGGTCACATCTCACAGCAGAAACCAGGGAGAAGGTATCTTCATGGGGGCACTGGCATTGTGCCAGTGTCAAACCATGACATGTGCAGATGGATTATGTGCCATCCCACATGACAAAGACTCAGATCCCATTTCAAAAAATGGCTGAAGAGACTTAGTATTACACTGGGTGCAATACAGACTTGTGAGAAATACAAACAGGAATGTTAACCAAGCACAGGACCAAAACTGTGAGCACAGGTAGTCTGAATGGCTAATTCTTCTGCATGAAGGGTGGCCATCAATCACTGTTGGTTATTTAAACAAGTTACCTTTAAAATCTGATGTATTATAGAAATACGGATGGTGATGGATGAGTTTCCTTTTCACTTGTTATTAAGGATCCATTGCACTGTTCCATTCTGGATGTGCAGTCTGACCTCAAGAAGCCTCTGTCATGGGATAACATTTATTAATTTTCCCTACTGTGGCCACAAGACTTCTTCCTGCCTGAGTCTGCTTAAATGTTTTGTTGCATTGCTTTGCAGTAAGCTTTGGAATTGTTAGGATGATTTATTCTTTTCATTCAAACATTCCTGTTGGTGCATTTGCACAAAGTGAGCTCTGTCCTGAGCTCCACACCCTGGTCCACATGTGTGGGAGGTTATGCTTTCATGTGCTTGTGCCTATTCTCCATCTCTTTTAAAAGGAGAAGTAGTATTAGGATGGTTTGCCAACAAGATGAAATTTCCAGATTTTTTTGATTTATCAGATAGCTGAGCCTGACCAGGAAAGCCTAATTTCAGATTCTGTCAAGGGAGCATAAGCAGACCATCAAAAACCCAGGTTGCTGCTTCATCACACTGCCTCACACAAAGCTGGCAGAGGTGGGGTTTGGGTTGCCAAGGCTATGCTCAGACTACTTCTTTCTGATTCTTTCCCAGTTACTAAGATGGCACTTCTCCTACTTGCTAAAGAAACATAGCCTACACAGCAGACAACTTAACCAAAGCCCCAAACAAACAAATAGAAAAGAATATTCACCTGCATATGTATTCCTTGATATGTATGCTTGATCATTCTGGATCAAGCCTTGGACCCAGGGGTTGGGACTCAGGCCCTGGCATTCAGCTCTGTATGAAAGGCATTAGAGAGAACACCTGCTAGCTGTCCTGTTGGTACCAGCTGTTAGAACAGCAGGAAGCTGCAAAGTGTTTGAGCCTGAATTCCTTTACAAAGTCATCAGCAACCTCCTACTCAGTTGTGAAAATGGGAAATCAGAGCAATGTGCTATCTTCTGAGAAAAAGGGAAGCTTCATGGAAGTTTGTATAACAAACTTTGACTCAATCTGCACAGGTATGCAATGGACTATTTCTTCCAGGGCTGTTTCCTTGCTTGCCTGGGTCTTGGCTGCTGCATAAATACAGCAACACTGTGAGAGAGCACATAGCTCCTCTTAATCACACATCCCCATGGCCCTGAGTGCTCCAGGGCCAACTGTAACCCTCTCCTGTTGATAAAATGAGTGTTGGCATCAAAGCTGAGGTTTTCCTCCAGCTGAGAGGTGCTTCTCCTGGGAGGGGGGAGTGCTCAGCAGGAAAGGATGCAGATTTATGCTGAGTGCCCTTGAAAACTGAGCAGTGAGTG